TGATTTCATGCCAAACTAACCAAAATAAACTGCTTCACCCAATTTACCTCTCTGAAAATTAACCATACTTTGTGGCTGTTGTGTTTGTGAAGTAGTTTCAATAATGGGAAATGATTTAACTTGATTTTATCTTCCAAAAATGGCTCATAAAGTTATGTCCCTGGTATTTATAGCCATGGTCAGCATTAATTTTTCAATGATTGCAAATGGCTCAAAATCACAGAAATTCACAGCTTATTCAAAATACTGACTTATATCCAGTATGATTTGCCAGTATACTAAATACAGCATCCATGAATGCATGAGTAAGAATTGAAGTTCAATGAAAGACACTAATTGTAAAGTAAATTGAGGAGAACTTATATCCAGTCACAAATAATAATAATTATTGATGGCTTATGTATTAATATCTATAATATTGTTTCTATGTTTTGTACAGGACAAAGCATTTCACAGATTTCATTATATTTCACATAAAGATAGACAAAACTGAAGCAACTACATCCTAGTGTCTCTTAATACAATGCTCAATTGCATTTCTGAAATCCAGAGAGGGAATCATGACATAATGTAGAAGATCTGTTAAAATGAGTTACAAATTATATAAAAGTTTGTGAAAATTGTGTATTAATTGCATGACAAATGATTAATTACTTTGCCCCCAGACTGCTCCAGGACAGTTTAATTGTGCTTATGATACTTTCATTAAGCATGCTGTAAACATTAAATTTGGCCCAACATGGACAAGTGCTTTCACATTTCCCCATTCAGTTGTGAAAACATCAGAAAGTGATACTATAAACAATCAACAGCACATGAAATAAAACTAAAATTTGGCGTGGCTTCAGAAATATTATGGAGCCTGAAACATTACAAAAATACCGATAATAATTGTCAATTAAGAGTGAGCATTAATGAGACAGCCCTTGGGGATCATTTTTGATCATTTTTTTATATAACTGAGGCATTTTTGTTTCCCTGAACGCATTGGCCTAAAGAACAAGCAAACAGCAAAATCAGTTACACAGATGTAAACATCACAAGTGCATAAATAATAGTCTGTGCTTTTAGAATTCCATGTGAGTCAACCTATGTGATTTCATTCTTCTTTTATTTTGGATTCCATTCAGATTGCTTTTGCCAGCTTGAAGGAAATCTCACACTTTCACACCAAAGTAAATGTTCCCTATGTCTCCAAGGAGCTGTGAGGATTTGGCTTCAAACTGCTCTTGTCAGTTTTGATTCTGTTTTTTTTAAGAAGTTCTTTATGAAGTCCCAGCCATGCCTGATGAGCTGCTATTAAACGATCCTCTCATGTGGCCCTTTTAGCTTAACTTCATTATTTAACACAATTCAAAATAAAAAAGTAACAGTGTGCAAAATCCCTTACTTCTCTGATAGCACTGATGGGCTTGATTATCACTGGATGAATCATAGAGTACAATATTTATTCTTTGGAACTGCACATTAACCCTTTTATGTTTACCTAACTATGGACCTAGCATTAGCAATACATTTCTTAATATATCATTCTATGCTCTGCATTTTTCTAGCTCACAATTAGTAGGCACTTCTGTTCTAATAAAAAAAATAATGTTAAAGTAATAATACATTCTGTGTACGTGCATAATATATATTTCATTAAAACTTTTGGCAATACATTTAAATGTGAGCAGTTAGCTGGATCAAAACTGCACATCTATAAGAGCTTGATTCCGAGCTTTTATGCCCACTATAAATTGTTAAAATGTGTTTACCTGCAGAAGTGGACTGTTCTTTGGGCCAACCAGAATACAAACTGTAAGCAAAGAGCTATAATTTAAGCAACATTGTAACTGAGACCAATAGGCTTCAGACAGATAAAAACCAGCTGCTCTGTCTGCCTCCAGCATTACCGCACTGACAAATCAATTGTTAGCTGTTTGTTACTTGCAGGTTTTCCAGAGGACTGTTGCTTTTGTTGGCATGTCTGGCTCCAGACAGTGCACTGCAGTTAACATCAACTCTCTTACTGTCTCAGTCATCAGACCTAAGCTGTTGATATTTGAGGTGGAGCCAGAGCCACTAGAAACAAGATGTTTTCAGCCCAATTCATTAGTTCCACCTCAATGAAAAATAGTTAAAAGTCTTTTTAAATAAAAAAGTTAAGAAAAAAGATTTCTCACACTGTTTAGACCAAATGTTTAAAATTATCAAATGACCTTTTATTTTAATGTACTCTCACATTAAAATAAACTATATAATTCCTGTGATTTCTTTTTAACATTTTAATAGTTTGTACTGTCAAGTTGCTCATTGCTTCCCGATTTTGATTATTTAACATCATCTACTCATTATTTTTCACATTTTTCATGAAACAAAGAATGAGCAGCACAGCATACATAACAGTATGTTTTAAGACAATCGTTACTGTATTAGATGTCTGTTGGCTCTACTTACCTTTTGCTTTTTTCTTACCTAAACACTGGCTGTGGTCAGTTCTTCCTACGTTTTTGCAGATTTAAGTTGTTTGATCTCTTTGAAACAAGAAAATTAGAAACAACAGGCGAATAAATTGAATTCCATGCTTTTTGGAGACATTGATAAAGAGAATGATCACTGCAAAAACAAAAAGAATAAAAGGGATAATACAGATAACTACTAAAAGGGACAAGGAGCACAATAAAAATATAAGGTCTAAGGGTAGATAGAATTTATCTGTTAAGATCTGAATTCTTCATAAACACAGATCCCTTCATAATTAATTCCCATTTCGTTCTTCTGGAGTAGGAAAACGCCAGATTCCTCCAACAAAGTTCAGAACATTACACATCAAAGGAAAACACCCTAGATTCTTTAAGAATTGAGAAATATGAAGTATTTTAGTCCCTTTCAATCCTTTTGATATTCATGAAATCAGTGCTTCAAAGAATCTGTACTGTAGTTAAATGAAGAGAAAAGCAGAGATTTTAATGTTTAACCTACTTTGTTAGTCTGAAAGAAGCAGCTCAAATACAGTTCTTCACAAACTTTAATAATCTTGAAGTAGCTACATATACATATAATGAATTCTTCATAAAAACTTCACAAGTTTAGCTGAAGACCTGAAATGTATGAGTACCGGTTTATTTTTATAAAAAAACATAACTGTGCAGACACTTGATTTTCTTTTTAATTTTTGTACTTTGAAACAAAAATATTATGATACAAAAGTATTTGATTTCAATATACTGACTTCACATTCGCTCTCAACTTCTCTTATTAAGTTTTTAGGTTTTTCACTGTTGTTTTAATAATTGGAGTTTTGAAAAAATACTTTATTAACAACAAGCACCAGTATTTCATGTGCAATACTCAAATATGAACCTTAAGCAGGCAAGGATTTTAATTCTAACTTATTCAGTTTAGTAGTTAAACTTCTTTATTATTCTGGTGAAATGATCTCGCCTCCATTAACACAAGTTTATGACAGACACACATCATATCATTATGACATTTTATCTATACTTGATTATAACCAATATGGCAACCTGTATTACTATACATGCTAGGCAAACTTGTGACAAGTTAAATGAATATGGCTGGACTCATTTTCTGCTAGACCATTCATTGGATGCCATTTGTTTTGTTTTTATTTTGTTTGCTTTGTCTTTAGAGCTACACATGACACAATGTAGTCTAGTTGTACTCTAACAAAAAGTCCAGAATAAACATTTTATACAGTATGTGTAAGAATACAAATGCCAATCATAAAAATAACATAAAGCTAAGATGGGAGAATCGGGTATCTGACAGCTTCATAAATTAAGTTGATTGGAGAGGTGATTTCATTTAGACTTGGTGAAATGGTTGGTCTTTGTGTTCTGTCATCAGTGAGGGTCTTGGCTCTGACAGCCGAGAAGGAATGGTGACATTATACACATCGTGACCACTTGCTTGGCGCATTCCCAGCTGTTAGACAAAACCACTTCATCAGTGAGCAGAGGATTTAAAAAAGAAAAATCAGTCAAATCAGTGAAACAACTGCAGTCAAACAGTCAAGTTCAGTGATATGTGCATAACTTGTTACAACTTGTGGAAATATACAGTAAAATAGAACAGCCATTAGGTTTAGAATGTATACCAGTATTGTTTTAGAACTGCAAACCTCATTCAAACCATCCTAAAAAGGCAGACAAAGCCAGTGTTGACTATCAGTACCCCCAAAAAAACAATGCAATGTTTTAAAACACATCAACAGTAATTTTAATACTCCTCAAGAGGTGAAGAAAGATCACAAGTTACTAAAGAACTTTGGACAAAAGCTGTAAATGTAATTCCATACAAATGTGTCACATTTGGAGAGATTATCAGGGGTAAATGTTACACGATCCAAGAGACAGTTGGCATGACGTGATTGTAATGTCTTCACAGTCATCCAGCGAATATGACATAATATGTGTAAAATACAGATGCACGTGCATGTATACGTGGGAGGTGGAATTTTGCTTGTTTAATACCAGAATTTTACTGAGATTCATTCCTGAAAACTAAATGAAAGCATCTGTTAACTTTATTACAACTCTGGATATTAGAACCATAGCAAGCTTACAAAATTTGAATGAATATTTTGCTCCCCTGTTTAAGTTTAAATATATCCAAAGAAGTCATAAATAAGGAAAATAACCGCTGTACAATTTCGTAAAAAATCTGTTTAGATGATCAGGAACAGTGACTTAGTTTATCTGTTCCCGGCTGATCAAATCCACCACTCAACCAGGTCAGAACCTTTCTGGGGAAGATAAAGAGTTCCTTTTCGTTAGATGTGAAAGAGTTAAGGGAGTGAGACTTACTGACTTCTGTTTACTTTCACTCCAGAGCCCTTCCATCAGCAGCCATGCCCTAGGAGTGGCTGATATGCAGATTGTAGTGACTGGGATTGGATAGCAAAGCCCCACATCTCTTTCGTGACTGTCCTGAGCAGACGTTTTGACAGGGGAGCCTCCAGCACGGACTACGCTGATAGTAAACTTTCAGCTGTAGGAGGGCTCTGCACCTCTTTACTCTTTTAGACCCTCCCAGCACAGGAATATCATCTGCTCTCTTGTGGAGGATCAGTGCTAGATGGGACCAAAACCTTTCACAACTTTTGCTGGCTCACTGAATCTAAGCACGGACCTCAAGGGAACGAGTAATGTGTAGACATTTAAAGACACATGCTGATTTTTTCCTTTTTTAATGAAGTACCTTTTGCTAGTTCTGTTCTATCTCTCCTTGGAGCCAGCTATTGGTTTGAAGTGTGAGGTTTGTTTTTTTTCTTGACGTTTGGATTTGAAAAAACAAGAACATCATGACTCTTCTTGGTTCAGAACACTCTTTGCTGATTCGCAGCAAGTTCAGATCAGGTAAGCAATATTTAAGTTTCTTGGATTTTTGTTGTTGATCACTTCAATTGGAGTGATAATATTTCTTTAATAGTGATAGTATTTCATGTACTTCTTTAAAATGTGTTCTATGTTTTGTAATTTATTTTCTTATGTGAATTCCATGTAGTTGGTACATTTTTAAATCATCCATGTTTACTGGATGATTTACTGTCCTGTGGAGCTGACTAGTAAGGAGTTTAGCCCAAGAAATTATTATAGACACCACAATTCTCAAAATGAAAATAATTTGGATGTATAATATACAAAGTGTATTATTTGTATATCCTGATTACATATCATAATACTTTTTTATTCAGTAAGCGCATCTTAGAATGTGTAGAATTTGTTCTTAACAGAATTGATTCTAAAATTCAAAATGTTAATCAGTTGTGAAAATGAGAATTTACTACACAGGGATTACAGGGATCTACTCATTTCCAAATTCTATTGTTATTTAAAAATTCTTTTTACACCTACTAAAAGAAAAGGTGTGTGTTTTCATGGGTATTGTAACTTACAGAAAACATTAAATCATTCTGAAACTGAGCACTTATTAATATAATAACATTCCAATGCCATCTTAAAAGTGAAATATTTCAGGAAATGTTTTTTTTACTTATATCTTTTCCGTAATTTTCTGTATATTTTGATTGTTATTTTCTGAATGCAACTTATATAATATTTGGAAACTGTCAACCATTTGCCCGCTTGACTTTACACAGAGGTTAGGGGTTATCTGCAGTGTACGGCTCTGGCTTTAAATTCTAGATCTGAATCAACTCATACCTATTGGAGTCAAAACAGCACAAACTCTTTTCAAACTCCTTTAAACTCCATTCATTTCATACAGTTTCTCAAATTAATACAACTCATACAATTTTTTAAAATGTCGACGTGGTCAATACTGCCACCTTTCTGGTTAAAATGTAACTGAATTCCACACTATTTATAGTGGAACCTTTTTGTCTGATTGATCAATGTTATGTTAAAAAGTTAAACCCTATTAGAAGAATAAACAAGACAGGGAGAGAATACAGTTAAGGAAGTGTGCAATTACACAACCTCTGTGCACACTGTGTTTCTTTCTGAAAATAAAACCTGATAGCCATTTATACCTATATTAAACAAGTCAGTCTAAGCGATTTCGATGAGAAATCACTATATTTGCAATACTGTGTATTTTTATGACAACAAAATAAATATTTCTTACTTCCATTAAATTATAATGTCTCTGCATATAAAACTATTCTATTAACACCATTAGGGTTTAAGGTCATAGCTTTAATAGTGTCATTAGTCAACGAAACCTTAGAGGGTGAAAGAAAATGCTTGCATATGCAGCCAAATAGAGCAAACATGTACTTGCAAGACCAATATTAATTTTGTGTCCTGCAAACTGCTGGATAATTTTTAGACTTTCCAAAATGGTAATTACTAACAAACAGTTTAAAGTGAAATTGAGCTTTTCCTTTAGTTCGTTTAGAACAACTAACAATGGGAAATTATCCTTTCCTCAGAGGAAGCAAAACTGGCAAGAGTGCACAGTCAGAAATGTGGCATGGTAAGCAATGTTTAAATCTTCTGTTTTACTTAAAACACATTTTAACTAGTAATACACTGCAGATGTATGTTTGGTACCACATACACATTTTACCAATTACTCTCTTCTTGTTATGTAATGCTAATTGATTGTATACGGATATATCTCTGTAGCACTTGAGAAATTCTGTAGAAAGTCTTTATAAGAAAGCTTCTGGATTACATACAGGAAGCCCTCTGCCAGTGCAATAAATAGATTGTGATCTGTCCTAAATTACCTTGCTCAGGTCTCTAAACTCTGAGCTTTTTATTAATGGCTGAACAGCCAGTCAGTCCATTTCCATTGCTTCCTGTACTGTGAATATTCCGTTAAGTTACATAGAATATTAAACACTCATTCTCCCAATTCGGGCTAGTGTACTTTGAAGAATAATAAAGAGCACTATACTCCACTCACGTGTGTACTGTGCTGGATTTTGACCAAGAATCTCAGATGCAAAGGCCCCGGGTATTAATTCAATGTACTCTCTTGTCTGGCCACCACCATTGCTAATCCCCCTCACAATACTTGTCCTTATTGTATGCTGCATAACAATCAAAAATAGCTTTTTTCTCCATGGGAAATGATAAACTAAATATGAACTTCTTTTAAAGAGGTAGGTGTTGTCTTTGCAGCTCACTCCAGTGTTTTGTTTTTATAGAAGGACAATAAGTCATTATTCAGTGAAGATGTCGGGCAGTGAAAATGATGACATGTTTACAAAAGCAATGGGCAGGTGATTGGTGGTGAACTGTCAGTTTCCCATGACTCTTTACATCTTCCGCTGATGTCATGCATTGGGTAGAGTGCCAAATTTGAGAAATCCTTTTGAATAACCTAAAATCAAACAAACAAACATCAGTATCACAGCACAGGATTCCAGAGGTTTCCCTAAAACTAGTGGATGAAAGAAAATGCATAAACTTTCTTTCCTCCCACTTTGAAGGTTTTAATTTAATCCCCACAGATAGTAAAATTGTGGAGACATTAAAGTCTTAATACACAGTCCTTGGAACTTCTCAGTTTAATTAAATACATTCTAAAGACAGTCAGATTGTCAGAAACTCCCAATGTAATAGGCTGTTTAGCTGATAAATGGAACAGGAGATAGCTCCACTTTGTAGACCCAGTGCTTTGTCTCAGCAATTAAGGCAGGCTTCAGGGTACAGTTCTCATATAGGTGATAGGACAAAAGGAGCACTAATTAAATGTGGCATAGTTTAGTCGAATACAAGTTACCCTTCACTGAAATCTACAAGGCCATTATCTACATGAAAGAGGTTGCCATAGTAGCAGAACTGTAGCAGTAAAGGTGAGAACAGAGGCACTACATCAACAAAAACAAACAAATTCTTATATGAAGTCTCTGAGTAATACCCTGAAAGTTTTGTGATCTTTGAAGCTGGTGGTGTAGTACAATCAGAGTACATCATAATAGTGTAGGAGGTTCAAAGGTTTTGGGCTGGCAAGCTTAATAATTAAAACTAAAAAGTAATTACTATTTTATTCACTATCCTCTGTTTACTATATTATTACAGACATTAACAAGTTAAGGTATCAGGCAAAATATTCTATTTTCAATGTATAACCATAAAAAACGGGTATTTAAACAATGGATCTTTTAGAAATCATGCACCTAGAAGAAAACCCCCCAAAAGTATCCCATGTCAGAATCGCTCTTACGATACATTTACATCTCCTCCACGTACTAACTGCAAAATTTCTGTCTGCAGAGTACCTATTACTCAATCAATATTTAATAACAACATCCAGTTATTGGCAAGGAATGGATTTCCTGTAAGTACTATTGCTGTGCATTTTAATTAATCTTCTTCTGCCCAAGCTCCACCTGCATTCCTGACTTTACAGTATCTCACAGAGGTAATGGCAGTACACAGCCTCCTTAAGCAACAGTTGCTTTGGTCAGGGGAAATGAAGCATCAACAGTTACATGGACGACAGAGATACATCAAAGGGCAAGGCCAAAGGCCAGTAATGTATTTTTTTATTTCCAGTCTTGTGGACCTACAGTACTTTGCTAATGGTCGATAGGAACATGAACTACTGATTTTTAATGTATGCTATCATAATGTTTGATTCTGTTACAAATAAGACATTGATTGTTATAAAGTATGTCTTGAACAAGGATACAAGGATATTTCTTATTTTCCTATTGCATAGCATGTTGCTATGTTCATCTCTAACTGCCAGTGTTGTATAAAAGCCTTTTGGCAAGTATATGTTCTCTAGACAACTGGTGTTGCTATTTATAAAGCATTCGTGTAAATCATCTGGTTCTTATTGCTGTGAGAGATATTCAATCCAGAGGGACATGAAACCTGTGATTACACCAACACAGACCCAAACCAGCACAACTACCAGTTCAGTTTAGTTTTGAGATACAAAAGTTGCAAGTATTTGCACCTTTGAGTCAACCAAGGCAAAAAAGCATATTATATACTGTAGTAGATGGCTACTATTATAGAACCATTAAATGCAGATATGTCCATTCTCATAAAAGACAAATATTTTAATTAATAAAATGAATACTGTAATGCCTTCGTCTCCAAGTTATTTTTAAATACAGTAATGCTAATAAAACACTTCAGGCTTCAGTTTACATACTGCTGTTTAGTAGTGCACAGTATAGTTGTGACCTCATAGTGCATGATGACAGACTCATCTCCAACCTGCTAAGTCCAAAACAACTTGGTAGAGAGGAGAACTGTACAGGAGACATGGCAATGTTTAGTTCACTTGTTTGATTCAGGTCAGGGGCTAGATTGGCCACATAGCTTCTTCTCCATTCTAATATTCTTATCTCCATTAGTTTACAAAAGGTTACTAAACAAAAAACAAACATTGATCTGTATTATACTATACTGATCTGAAACAAACACTAATCTGATCTATACTGTAGTATAGCTTCAGATAAGCCACCATTCATTTACACTTTACTAAACTGCATTAAATTCAGTGTAAAACGTTCTACGTACAGTGTATGTGCCAATGTGGAATGTGGATAATTATAAAGTTTAATGGCTTGTTTATCAACTGGATTTTGAAAACTTTGATCTGCCTCTCTTAAAATGGGACCAATGGTAATACATTCCCAAAGACACTACACACCAGGGGGCGCTTATATCACAGTGTCCATAATCATTATTCATTAGAACATGCTTGTGGAACCTGCTGAGCAGCTCAACCAGTAAAGGTGCTCAGTCAAGCACATGTTGAGCTCTGTTGTCACAGGTATGATTCTATGTCAGGTCACTAGCAAACTGTGACTGAGATTCCCTAAGCAGTGTCAGAACTTTGCTAAATGTTACTTAGGGTAAGGTGCGCTCTCTCAGTTTTCAGTGATACAACAACTTCTGCAGCCTCCCAGGCGTGTGCAAGTACTGCACATGTGTGTGGTGCTGTTGGTGATGGATGCGCATGGAACCTTCAATAAGGGGCAATGTTGCCTGTGATGTGTTAAAAGACAAGTGGCTGAAAGGTGGGAAGGGTGGAAGAGTCTGTCTTCACTTCCTCATTCTCCCATGCTGAGCTCGGGGGTTTGTAGCTACTGTACGGTTCAAGGCATAAAAAACAAATGGCTTTTTCAGAATGAGTGGGTATAACCAATATATTTGTTTTACAATATTTTACATATTTTCTGCATGGTCCCATTGTTCCCACTATTGTTCCAAGGTGCACATTAATGATGATATACTTGTTTTTATATACAAGCTAAAAACAAGTCTATAAGTGAAATATAATGGATCCATTATGTGTTCTAAACTGAGTTATTAATCAGTGTCTTTTTATATAAGAAAGATATATGGATATGGAAAGATGAGTGAGTTTACAGCAGCATTCAAGCTGTTGTGTTTCATTTGCATTTTTCTGCATCCAGCAAAAGAGGAAGCAATTATTTGGCTTTGTTAGGCTATTGTCCATATTAATTGATACTAATATAAAATTATTTAATTTTGAACATTTAAACAAAGCATTAACTTAAAGATAGTTAAAGTTGATATACCCTGTTTATTAGTATAAGTATTACTAAAATTCCATATATTAGTAAACCTTCAAATTTTAAAAAAATGAATATGAGAGCCACAAAGCTCCATTATTTGAAGGAAGTAGCCTCAAGGACTAATGGCTTACAAAGCCTTCTTTAATATGAATATTTGATATGTTAGTAAAATAATCTTTAAAGCTTTCCTAAGTATTTTTACAATGTGGGGGTAAGGAGGAGTCTATATCCCTCAAGACTAAGAGTTGCAGCATATGTTTAAGACAATTAAGCTATTCCTGGAACAAGTTTATTTGATTATATTACTGATTAATTGATTCCTTACTTCTCCTAGTGTATCCATCTGTGTGTTTATGTGCCCTGTGTTTTTGCCACATTATCGACACTTGGTTCCAGAAGGAAAAAGGTTTTAGGTCATTTGTTCAGCAGACTCTAAGCAACAACAGATGTCCTTCCCAAATATTGTTTCTTTCCAAAATAAGATCTCCTCCATCTTAAGTCTTTATTAGGGAAAACTTAGTGAGAAACAAAAATCAAATTATATGAAACTGCAATTTAGGACATATTACATTCTCCTGTAATTGCATGTTCTGAACATCTACCTAATGCCACACTGCTAATGCCAAAAATCAGTCATCATTAACCAAGAAACACCATTGCGGGAAAGAGTAATACTCATACTGACATACTGTACCCATCAAACCTATTACAGCTTCCATGAACTCAGTAAAATGGTACAGTACCTGTAATACATCATACTGATTATAGTAAATATTTTGCAGACATACAGTACAAATGTGGATGTGATGGTGATGATGATGGTTATGTTTTACTGTACTTGTGACTATGGGTACAAAAAACCTGGGAAAATATGAACTAATCATGACTGAACCAAAATGCTTCAACCACCTCAGGCTAGAAAGGATACTGTGGCAATTGAGATACTGAAGAATGTCACAGTGTTTACAGACACTTTGGTGTGCATGTTTCGTGGTATCACATCTGCGGTTACAATACATTCAGACAGGTTCATTGCATGACTGACAGTGGCTAGGGAGCCACACTCCACTCCCTATGCAACAATCTTTTACAGTATATTACAAGATTGTTATCAAATATTAGCAATTATCACATTTCACACATCGGCTGGGTGATGTGTATAACTGGCAAGGGTCAATAATTCAAGCCTAAATATGAAGATATTGCAGCAGAAACAAGATAAAAATATGTGCAATATTATTTGCAGTAGTTAGTCGAGGTTGAATCGTTTCAAACATGATGGTAGGCAAAGTGTATTACAGTTGCTGACAGAGGTACCACACACCATTGTATTGCACAAGTATATAAAATTACTTTTTATTTGAAGAACAACAGATTTAAATTTTGCAAACATTTTTCTTCTATCAAAACATTTGATTGTGGAACTGCATTTAAAAGATTTGGAACCGCCTAGATACGTATTTTATTTTGACTCAAACAATAACAAAAATAACAATAATAAAAATGTTGAAAGGCAAGAGCGATTTCTAATTAAATTGCTAATAAATCGTGCAGAGTAACAGTGTCAGCCACTTTGTGTTTCCTTCTATATCATATACTGTATACAGTATTATGTATTACTTTATTTGTATTATTGTTAGAACTAATTGAAATATTCTAAAATGTAGTGGGAATAAGACTAACACAAACAGAAAAATTAGTTCTTCTACTCAACAACATAATGAGAATGCATTTTTTCTTAATTTAGGAATTTAGTGGAGAAGTGTGGAGTAGTGGTTAGGGCTCTACACTGTGAAGTGGAAAGCCGTGGGTTCAGTTTCTGGATAGCACATTGCAGTTGTCTCCTTGAGCAAGGAAATTCATTTAGAGTGCTGCAGCAAATGCTCTGCTTTAGAAAGCTGGTACTACAGGTCATCATTATAAATGAGAATTTGTTCTCAATTGACTCATCAATTTGAAAGATTAAAAAGGCAAAGTTAATCAGGTTTCTATCTTAACTGATCCTGTTTTGTAAGGGATCAGTATTTTCAACAAATTAATTTTACTTTATCATTTGCCTCACTATTTAGTTCAATAGAATGATGGTGCATTAAATTATTAATTCTGTTCTGATAGTCCAAATTGTTACATCCTGCAGACAAGCTTTTGTGAAATTTTGATATTGTCTGCCATGGCATTTCCAGAAGATCGCCAACATGACTCAAAAACAGTTTGAAAATTATGACTCTTCTCCAATACACACCATACTCAAGCCTAGACAGCACAGCAAGTCAGGACTCTCCTGGTGCTTCAAGAAGCTTCCATCCCAGAGTTGGAACAGTCTGCAATGTACAGGAATGTTCTTATGTGAAATTGAACTTTGAAACCATTCATCAATCAATTGTAACATTGCTAAACTGCTAATTTCAATCTTCAATCTTTGTTTGAAGTGGTGATACTTTCTATTGTCTGACTTCATAAATATTCAGTTTGCCATGTAACATTATTCACAAGTTTATCTGGACATTGAGACAATCAGAATTCCAACAAATGGTGCAGGAAATGCAGTATGTGATTTATGCATAAATTTAAAACTGTTAGCGAGGAAAAGTTATTAAATGCCTGTCTCTTAGCTTCCAGCACAGAGCAAGATGAACCAGGGCAATCTAAATCAATCTAACTATTAACTAGCAGTATGCTAAAGAAAACTGTAATCAGTGACTTCACAGTCCATTAAAACACTAGGAGACCACATATTATCAACATGATGAAATAATTGGCAAACAACTTTTCAACAGAGTTTAATAACTGAGCAAAGAGATTGTACATCACATGTCTAGGAATCCACTTTGTTGTATAGCTGGGTGATTGACTGGCAAATATTCATTTTTATTGTCCCCACGCCCCATAAGACCACACACTGCAGGGAGGTTTGTTTAAAAGCCAGGAGCTGTGTTTATGATAGCTGTACATCCTGTTTTCAAGAAATATTTGTAAGCCTGCATTTTTTTTCTTTGTATGTTTTTATATGACAGCAACTCAACAGATTCTTTCTTGAAGCCTAAGAAGTCAAGGAATCTTTCTTGTAAATCCCTGAGCACAACACAGTGTTTTGAAAAGATAAAGCATCTTTCAAACGGAGTCCACACATCTAGGATATTGCTTAACCTTTGCTCTTTAGTAAGATTTATCTTGCATAACACTGTTCTTGACTTTTTCCAAAGCCTGCTTCACAACCAGTAAGTCTTTGTCCCCTCGTTCGCTAACATGGGATGCTTATCAAACAAAATGGAACACCTTCTTACAGGACACAGGAGAGAGACTAAACATGCTTCTGGAATGGGTCAGAGAGTTTATCTTGAGGTTATCAAGACTGGTCTGAAGGACTGAAGAATTTAGTTATATATCACCAGAGCTATTTACATGATGCTGTTAAATGCCAGTCACATCAAAGTTATTCTTTACTTTCCAATTTGATCAGCTTTCCTTATTACAATTCATCATTCTTCGGGCACGTCTTGGATTTCAATATGAGCAAAAAATGGAAGTTATTTGCTATCTTTGATAACAACATTGCCTTTTTATATCTGCATATGGAAACAGGTGCTGATTCTCTTTTTCATAATTTACAAGTGATTGTAGTTTTACAAGCACGTATAACACCTACTAATTAAAGGTCTTAAAGAAAGCAATTTAGCTGTAGGGCTAAATTTTCTTTTTTAAATAAAAACATGTCTGGTTACTGTTTTGCTGATATGTTTTTTTGAGTGGTTGGGTTTGGTTTACTGCTTTTCATTATGAAACATATTTTTAAGAGACATTAACTATAAAATAGCCTTTATGCAGCAAAACGTAAGTACAGTATAGAAGCGTTTACTCCATGTATGGTAGTCGAAATGAAAGAATGTGTTCTTGAAACTATATGCTGCCTTGTATTTTGACCTTATTTCAGGTAATAGTTTTGGTATTCTTGCTGACAACCTTGCTACAGCAAATTGCATTTATAACTTTACCTTTTACTTTGCAGTTCTTCAATTAAGGCTACAGCAAAGGAGAACACGTGAGCAGCTTGCAGATCAAGGTATCATGCCTCGTAAGTTTCCTTTTGTTACTGTTTCCTGCTTGATAGAACTTGATTTAAAGCAGGTCAATGACACACATATCTTATACTCAAGAGGTTACTGTATATTTCATTTTTAAAGATAACACTGTATCTAAATTAGTTAGTGTGCACATTTAGCATATACATAGACTGGAGAGTGTTTACATAATGGAAATTACAGCTTTGTGAAGAGATGTTCATGAAAAACACTCTTAAAATGCTATTCTAAAGGACAAGTTAATTACAAAATTCTTAGTGGTGAGTGGTACACTGGTAAGGTTTATAATTTTAGACTATATGCATAAAAGCTGTAGTTTATGGTGGGAATCTGAGTTTTTCTGTCTGTAGGCATTTAAGAAATTAAACTATATTAATCACTTCAGAAAATTATCTCAGAAAGTTAAAAACCCTCCATAATCCATTCATATTGCTTTAGCATCTGTTCTTAGGTTACAGAACTGTATTCTCAACAAGTCTGCAAAAATGTATTTTTTTCACTTTTTTGAAAAAATATCTTGATAAGATTATAAGCTTCCCACATACAGTACACACACACACAAAGCATATGTAAGAATTCAGAATGTTTGTTTTATTTTTCAATAATTCTAGAATTATATACAACACAACCAAATGAAAGGGTATGTTTAGGAAATTGTAGACAAAGGTTCCACATATATTTTGAGTGGCACATTTTACTGTTATAATTAATGGGATAAAGTTATGGTGTGTTCAGTCAGCTATTAAGTATTAATATTTTACCAGTTAAGATTATCACCCAATCATTGGAATAACATAGACATAGCCAGGTACCTAGGTACAGGCTCCAAGACTGCTTGAGGATCTTAACTGCTTTTTAAATTCTGCCAAAACACTGGATTGCCTTTCACGTGCCAATGTGGTTACCTAATGAAAATGAGAAACTAGAGCCTCTGCATTATTTTAAACTTGATCTTCAGGGCTGAGCTTTGAATCAGCATAAGCAGTAAACATCTTATACTCCATTGGCAGCAAACAAATAACAGAAAGGCCAAGAGCTGACCTCCATGGAATGCTCTTGTGCTGAAGAAGATATCTAGGCCAGTAATACCCAGCTCTGCTGCGGGATAGATTTACGTGAATAACACCTGTTGATTCCCCAATGAATTAGGACTTTGTCTTCTTGATTTAGGCCCTGCATTGAAAATGCATGTACCATCTTTAATCAACACTATCCGATCTAAAGTCTGTTCCCAATTTCAAATGTTACTGATGTTGCTAACACTTATCAAAATTCTCTTTTGATATTATATTTACTGGATTTATATCTAGCATTTTAACATAACGCATGAATAAAAAATATATATTTTCTGAAATGTCATGTGTATTTTTATAGCTCTAATGATAATTTAAACAAAACCTACAATTGTTAAGATCTTTAAAACAAATCACAAGTATTTACCAATAATAAAGAGTGAATCATTTTACTCATTTGGAAGAATCATTTATGCAGAAAAATATGTTAGAGAAATTCTCATGTGATTTCAACATATATACTAGAGTTGTAACAAGGAAAGCAGAAGTGATATCTTTGGCACAGTAGCAATTTTAGCAAAATGGCACGCGCAAGGGACATTAAGATAACTGCTCAAACGTGTGCAGGAGAAAGGATTCCAGAGGCATGTCCTATCAATTTCTAGGAGTCTATTTCAGATAAAGTCTTCAGAAAAAGTCTGATCTGCCAGGCTCAAGTTCTTTTAAAAGAATTCTGGATTGCTACATTATCTGCTGATTGTGTATAAGAGGTTAGTGAAACAGATGGCAAGTTTTGTGAATGTTTTTCTAGGGTGTGCAGTCTGATGTAGCCTTTATACTGTGTATTAATTCAACACTTCATGAGCATGTCTTAATTTCAGCACTGGAATATGTAAAATATTTAGAACGAATATTAACAGTGCCTTATATTATATATTATCAGGCCTTACAATTATGCTGTTCAAAATGGACCAAGAAACAGGACAGCATTAGTAAACATAAGCAAAAGTTACTCAATCCATTAACATAATATGTAAAGATGCTTTCAATTGAATTCTTATACTGACAAGTTATGTAAGCATGGTTTAAGTAGCATACTCTGTATTTTGAGTGGCATTACTGGTTAAACAAAAACTGTAATTATTGTGTCATTCATGCAGTTGTTCTGCAGAAGTATTTGTGCACAAAAACAGATTTAAAATGCTATACTTGAGATACCTAGAAATTTTAATATTTAACACTTATAGGTTTCTTTGCACTGAGTCATGGCCCAGATTTTTAGCTGTTTATTCCATATGTATGTTTCCATTGGAAACATCTGGTGTTTATTAGGCTCTTCAACTCTTGTGCCTCATAGTCTTGTTTGGCCCTGGGTTGGGATGTGCTGGAGAGCAGTGCCTCACAGGTCAGCCAGGCAAGCAGCCGGACGTGTGTGTGGCTCACTCCCCTCTCATGGTGGGTTTTTACAAGCACTCAGGCACAATCTTCTTCAGTTTAGATATAAATCAAGTCTCTTTTTTAAGTAGAACTCAACAGGGCAACTGTAGCTCATTCTTACATGCTTGATAAACATTTTCTTTTTAGAAAGCCATTCTGGCATAAAACATCATGCAAAATGATCTTAACTCTTCGCACACCATCTTAGAAGACATGTAAAAATGTCTTCTAAGATGTATGTAAAAACTGCATCCCTAGAGACCTAAAAACTGAATCATGTTCTTCATGTGTTTCACTTTGGCATTTTAAAGTAAAATAAAACAGCAATAAATAGATTTAATAAATATTACCCCATAAATCACAAAAATGATTTGTAAGACTAAAGTGAAAATGTTAGATCCTTTTCAATGTCTTCTAAATAATCCTACATCTTTTCATAAAAACATCAAGACATTTTAATAACAAAACAGATCAGTACAAATACTGTAGGTCATGGGGATCTCTGTTAACGTTTTTAACAAAATTCAACACCTATAAGTTTTATTAAAAATATCAAGATGAAATAAGTACTTTTGTCTGAGTAGGTATTTACTAAAATTCAGTTTCAATTAATCATAAATATCCCCTGAAAAAAATATCTGCTGGCTCTGCATCTCACAATCAGCTTACTTTAAATAATTGAACTAAAGCAATTAATCAGGTAAACCAAATAATCTTTGTTTCAGATGTTAAGATTTACTGTTGACAGGACAGAAGCCAGAAAAAAAAATGGTTATTTGAGTGCTGTGCGTAAATTTGAAAAGAAGCAGACATCTTTATACACTGTAACCTCTTGTCTCTTGAATCCACTGAAGGACACATCTACTGAATACAACCATTGAGCTTTCTCTGCTGTATATGTAGCCCTTTCTCTCAGTCTCAACTAACCCTAGTGCAAAAGACATTTCAGAGACAACCATGAATAGACACATACCAAAACAGGATTAACAAGGAGATGAAAAACTACTACTTTGTGTGCTGTATATATGCAACCTGGTATTGTTCCTCACCACAAAGAATGAGATATTTCAAAACTTTTGCATCACATATGACAGTAGATGAAGTAGCTGTTTCAGCGTACAAATTGCAAAGGACCAAGAAGAGCTTAGTTCCATACTGAAAGCTAAAAAGAAACACACTTGAAGAAGAGCCAAAGTTTTTTTTCACAGTTATTCAATGTTTAAGCAGAGCAAAACACTAGAAGGAAGAACAGCATTGGTTATCTAAGACAATCTTCCATCATTATCAAAGTAAACAATTTAATAGTGTTCCACGGAAAAAGAAAATCCTTAAAATCTTTTGGAAGAGACCACGAACATGCATCTAAATTTTATTCCAAGAACACAACTCTTAATGAGTGCTTGTTGGCTCTTAGGATTCACTCTGCTCAATTTCAGGCTCATGTGTATATGAGTTTCAGTCAGAGAACCACTGAAGTCGCAATGACAGGAATCAGCAGCTGCGATAAAAATAATGTGTGATCTCACTGTGGCATCCCAGAGGTTTATTTAACAGTATAGAATGACTATGTAGTGAGCAGGTGATTTCAATATCCTTTAAGAAAGGTTACTGTCTCCACAATGGAAACAGTCTGAGGCCAACAGAAAGGGCCTTTTTAATTGCTTACCTCGAGAGGGACTCTGAAAACAGTAATAAATTTTAAGTTAATATTGAACAAAAAAAACTGATGAAAATGGGGATTTACTGACATAATGTTTAATTTTATTCAGATTAAGACCATAGGTTATGTTTAAAGTTATAAAAAATAAAATGGGAAATGTTTTCACAATGCCTTGCAGATCTGAATCTAAACCTAGTAGCTGTTCCAAAAATCATGGATAAAATGAAAAATGAGAAGAGACATAAAATCAAATGCATATATTAATTGAAAATCAATTTCCGTTCAATTTACTTTCATAAAAGACAAATCATTATTATCAGTTATTAGTAACATTTTGTAAATTACAATGTAGAATTTCAAAATATATCACCACACAAAGAATGTAGATCTTCTGCATGATGCTTCCAGGTTAATGATGAAGTATTTAATATTTACTGTTTTACTAAACGAGTCCTGTTCATTCATTTGCTTTCCAATTGTAGATTGTGGTAGATTGAGAAATCTACCAGCCTGAGTTTCAGTTTCAAATGCTGTAACTGAAGACCGAAGAATGTCATAACTGGAGGGCTAATAAGAATATTGTAAATGTGCATTTATTTATGTGTAATTAAGGAAGTGTGTGCAATGAATTGTGTTATCGGTTGTAATTAGCCAGATTTTACTGTTTATTTTTCCAGCTTTGAAGAGTCCAGCTGCATTCCATGAGCAGAGGAAAAGTCTTGAACGATCCAAGGTAAGAAAGGCAAATGCCGCTAATTGTCATTATAAATCAGAACAGTTACAGGTGCTCAAAATGTCTCCACAATGGGTGTGAACAGCCTCCCAAGTTCATATGGAGTCATTTGTCTTATGCGTCCTGGAAAGCAATGAAATGAATACCAGGGAATAAAAGGCCAACTCTAAATTTATAGTTAGAAAAGATTCCAGGTGATGCAATTTCCTGTAATGATTTAATGGCTGACATGTATAGCAAAACCAATATTGATTCTTGTTTACAGAAATTTATACCATGCTGTATATTATTTGCTAGGAGCACAGTTTTTATATTAAAATAATATATATATGAGATATGGAAACAAAATGTTGCTGAAAAATAAAATCAGTCCTAAATGGTTGATCTACTGTAAGATACGTGCATGATATAATTCAAAATAATTTGTATTATATCATGCACGTATCTTATTCACACCTGAAGAAGGCTCCACGGCCTTCTCGTTCTTCTTTTTTTCAGCATGGAATAAACCTATTACTTGTTCTAATACAAAATAATGTTTCTTATTAAATACTAAACCAAATATGATATTATTTAACATGTAGAATTATAGAAGTGCTCCATGTAAAATTGTACAGTCTATCATTTTAAAAAACTCTCTTCCACACTTTATGTACATGAGTTCAAATTACATATTTTTCAAATTACATATTTAACATGTATTTATGTACGGGAGTTTAAATTAAAATGAAATTCTCAGTTAAAAAGTAGAAACTATCCTATACATTTTATATACTCCAGGAATTTACAACACAAAAAGATGAGTTAAATACCATTAATAAAGTCCATTGGATCCATTTAAGTTTTCATGTGTGACTGGATTATGCCAGCAACTGAAATTGCTGCTTTTTTATTATAGATATACAGTAGCAGCTTACCCTTCAGTAAATGTAGTTAATTTGTCAATGAATGGGGCCCATTTTACTTCCTGCTAGATTCACAACTCACTACTAATTAAGTCACCCCATCGGTACACAACCAACTCTGACATCTGATTTAGCACGAAAGGTTCAGATTCCTCAGTACATTGATGACTGTCTAGGGATACAACTTGTCATCACTAACCCTTCACTGTGAAGGGATCTGCAAAAAAATCAAGCATCTTACTTAAGACAGCTATCTGTCACAACTTTTGATAAGATTATGTCTAATGTCCCAATTGTAAGCAAAGGGTAAGATAATTATGGAGTTGATCTTTGGCATTAATTTAAATGAATATCACCTGTTTTCATTTTTATATTTTCTTATACTTATGGAGTTTAAAATAAGCAAGTAAAATACAGTATATGGCACAAATAAATTAACATTTGTGGGAAGACATGTTGGTTTTACTTTTATTTATATTTATGTGTATTTGAGTCAATTGTATTTAAAGAAAACCTAGGTTTACACCTATTTCCTCTTCATAATGTCTTGTGATAAAAACATTCAAACACATCACACACAGAGATACAACACTGCCTTTCTGACAAAACATCGGCAAACAAAAATGTAAATACTTCATATGTCTGGAATTCCAAAAAGAAAAACTTTCCTATTCCTTAAAACATAACTCTGTTACTGTAGCAAAATATAAAAAACTACCTCATATTAAGCTTTATGATATTTTTCTTAACCAATACTTATAAAAGTTACAGTGGCCTGACTTTGTATGGTGCTGAATGTTCTGTTCTGTATTTGCTTGTATGTTCTATTTTCTTGCTTTATTTTGAAAATGCAAATAGATAAAAATTCATCAACATAAAAGTCTGTCTCAAAGTTTCTTCAGCCTTTCCTTTGTTCCTCTACACATCAAAATAGCGATAATAGTGTAATTTGAAATTAGCTGATATCTTTATCAGTGATTACTTAAAATATAAAATATTAGCTGTACCAGTTAATATTGTCTGCATTGAATGCATTTGTATAGTACAACAATATTACCATAACAAATTACAAGGTTACAAATTACAAATTACAAATCTAGTAGTTCAAACAGAAGTGTGTTGAGGAGAATCAATTAAATAAAAATCATCCATATAAGTATTGTTAAAAAGATTAATTTAATACCTGAATCTATGTATTGCATTTTTGTCATACAGACAGAAGATTATTTAAAGCACAAAATCAGAAGCAGACCTGAGAAGTCAGATTTGGTCAATATGCGCATTTTACAAGGTAAGAGTGTTTCTACTTGATTGTTGATTTAGGTATACGTTATATAGAGAGTATATTACTAAATGCAATGCTGTTCCTAATCCTGTAGTACATGTAAGAGCTTTCTTAGATAATGCATACATGTACAGTACAAATACAACTGGTTTTACTCAACTTAAGGAATATTTTGGGTAATATTTTTAATTACTATAATTTATTATTTCCTCATATGATAAGAGATTATTTACAGTAACATGTATAATACAGTTAAGAGTACATTATATTAATTCCCATTTAATCCACTATGGTGGAATACATATTACAGTACAATATTAAATTTGTGAAAGATTTTTTTTAGCAAAAATGTCAATGCAAGCCTAAGATAGGGTACTGTCCTGAGCATAACACAACTAAGCTACAGCATACATACTGTACTGTAGATGCTGTATGGTTCTGGGAAGTGATTACTCTCTTGCTGTTTATAGAGAGTTTAATATGCTGCACATTTTAGCACTGAAAGAGGACCATTTTCACCTGGAAGTATACACAAAATGTTATGCTACAAATCACAGGCTTCAGCATCACGTACTGTATGTAGCAGTGTCAGAACTTGTTGGTATGAATTAACAGTGCTTATCATTGTGTTTACTGTGTAGACTCAGCCACTGAAGGCTCCATACAGGCCACTCAGATGAAACTGAAGCGAGCCAGGCTAGCTGATGATCTTAATGAGAAAATTGCACTAAGACCAGGCCCATTGGAGCTGGTAGAAAAGAATATCATTCCTGTTGATTCAGCAGTCAAAGAAGCTGCAATGAAAGGTAACTGAGTAAAATAGGAAATGCTCTTTATAGTTTACCACTTATCCTTATGACCTATGGCACCTAAAATAGCCTACTTTACTTGGTCACACTGTCCTTCACTGAATATAACATACATTGTTCATCTTAAAGTAAAATCTATGGTTCACTAAGGCCTGAACTAACAACATCCAAACAACCAAACATCTGTTTCAATTCTAGCACTCCCTGTAAGGAACAAGACTAATTTTATAGGTTTGCTACATACTGTACATGCAGTTTCATCATTAGAAAGGCGGTGCTTGCCAAACTGAAGTGGTTTAGTGTTGCAAGCTTCTACTGCAATCTCCTTATCTAATTTTTAATTTTAAAAAACTAGAAATACTTTACAAAACAGACCTTGAACTAAACTGTCAAATTTGTTGAATAAATATAATGATATAGATTGAAATACAATTTACTTTTTGGTAACTGTAAACTGTAAAGCTAACATTTTCAGAATAGCTTTTTAGCCATTTATTTAGTTATTTTGTTGTTTCTGAGATTAACATTTTTTACTAAATGTTATAATATTTTTCACATACTTTGCATCCTTTGGAAGACAATCTATAAAGGCTATTTAACACACAGTGAGTGTTCTTAAGCATACCAAATCAAACAGGCTTTCACTTTGATTAAAGCCCATTGGCCAGTGATTGAGAAAATGTCCCTTGCCACATAGTGCATAGCTGAAACCTGATATCAGCAGCTGTTTATACTACAGTCCTGTCATCACCTCAAGCAATAGGTTTGTAGGGACAAAGCTCAGAGGAAAGAAATTAGCAGGGACTGAACTCCATTACTTTCAAGATTAGCACAGAGACATAGGGTCCTGAAAACAAGCAGATGGGCTTTGGGAGCAACTGTAGATAGGAAGTATGTATGGCATTTGTCAGTCCCACGTTCTATAAATGAATTGTTATTAAAAGCAAACCAAAAAACAGAAATCAGCTAGATACAACATAAAGAGTTTTGTTTTCAGAAATGCAAATTACGTAGTGTTTGACATTTCTTGTTCGTTTAACATTGAGTAACAATGTGCTTTCAATAGGTTTTTTTCTGCAGTGGTAAAAATTAACTGTCTTTGATTCATTTAATGGCTCTACATTTGTTAAAAAACTATGTTTTTACCTTTAACTTGGGGAGAATTTTCCAAATATCGAAAATGGTTGATATTTCAGGTTAAAGATATTGCTTTACACAAAGTCAGTACACAATGTTTTATAGATATAAACAGCAGCTGTATTTAGATATTCCTTTCTAGATCAATTGAAGTTTCCCCTCTATTTCTCATTGTTATGACTAGCAATGATTTATGTAGATACACTAAACCACCTACAAAGGTGCGTCTGACAGTCCTTTGCAGTTGTGCAGCTGTCCATTTTTCTTGCCAGCTGAGGAAGCCTTCTTATGTGCAAGAAGTTCAAAGGTGAATGTGTTAGGCAAAAGGGTTAGTACATCTTAGCTGGTGGCCCTCAGACACTTTGCCACTGCCTTTCCAGAGTAACAGATTCACCCCCACACCTGCTGGCTATTTAGGCTACATGGATGACAGTTAACATTTTCTGGAAAACTAGACTGAATTACTCAACATGCTGCTTTCTATTTAAAATCCTGCTTCTTCAGATTTACATTAAATCACTAGTGGATTTACTATCCTTAGTTTTAATAAGTATAAGTTCTTGTGTTGTACCCTGTACCCTTTCCCAAACATCATACCAGTGTGTACATTTTTTATTTGTAAAGCTTTATACTGTAGGTGAGATTGCCTGGGACTTTTTTCCCTTTGTACTATTTATCTGCAGTAACAAGTCCTCTAAATGACCTAAGTTGACAGAAGCAGACAGCTTGTAGTCAGGTGTCCCTAGGGCCTCCATATAGTGTGTGAATGAATCCAGAATCAACAGGTGGAGGAAATAGCACCAGTCCTCTATTCTACTCTGGGCATAGAGAAAGGACTCAGCATTTGCCAACACCATGACTGAAAGTGTGACTGTCATGATTAAAACCAGGATCTGTTTTTGGCAGGTCACATGCTCACATACACAATTAATCCCTCTGCCTAATGTCTTGCTATTAGTCCTCAAGTTGATTATTTAAGATAGCACTTCTTCTCAGTATTCTGCTTATCAAGGGGCCACTCTAGTCAAGTGCTCTTGTCAGTTTTCCTCTGCAATGCCAGAGCACTTCCTTGCTAAGTGTCCAACTAGGTGCAAGTGACGAAGAAGCTGCTTCTTAACACCAACCTCCACATTACGGATATAATAAATGTGGTGCAATTTGCATAGCATTGTATGCACATATATTTACTCATACAGGGACAAGATACAGCATATCCCAAAATCTTTTACCTTTAACTTTTTTCTGTATGTTTCAATTTACTTAAAACTTGTCTCACTAACAAGTTTTATGAATATCCCAATTGTGTTAAAAATGATTTAAAATTGGAAATATTTTTAGTAATTGATTTCCCTGAGTTTTGTGTCAGCTGGATTAATTCACATATTTCAAAGTGCTAAAGCAATATATGCTCTTGTGTTTATGCAGCAAATCATGCAAAATTCCCAAAGAAAGAGGACTCATATGCATTTGAGGAGGACAGCAGTAGTGACAGCCTGTCACCAGAGCAACCCAGAAGCAATGAGTCTCAAGCTTCAGTGTGTTCCCCATCAGAGCCCAAGAGCAGTGATGCATCCTCTCCTGCCACAACAGGTGCTATACAGGTGAGAAACAGCCATATTCCGAATTCAGCACCACAGACTAGTGCATTAAAGCACAAATGTATAAATACAATCCATCAAAGAATGTAAATTATCCCCTTAACATGATAATCTATATTGTGGAATTGAGACAACAATCGCTTAGCCACATGAAAATTGGTAAACAGACCTTGATATTTGTGGAGGTAATTAAGTTTAAATTTACATAAAGGGGGCAACACGGTGGTGCAGTGCTTAGCATTGCTGCCATGCAACGCTTGGACCCTGGGTTCAATTTCTGGAGTGCTATCTGCATGAAGTTTGAATGTTCTCCCACTATGCATGTGGGTTTTCTCCTGGTTTTCCAGTTTCCCCCCACAGTCCAAAGACATGCTGGTAGGTTAACTCTCTTCTGTAAAAAGTGCCCCTGGGATGAACATGTGTTTATTTGTGTCTGTGTGTGCCCTGCAATTGACAAGCGTCCCATCCAGCCATCCAGGGTGTATCCTGCCTTGCACCCAATGCAATTCCTGGGATAGTCTCTGGTCCACTGTGATCCTGAACTGGATAAGCAATTATTGAAAGTGATGTGACAAATTTATCTACTAAGGAAATAGGTTTGCACTATATCATACCCAACTTGCCACAATAGATACTGCATGTATACTTCTAGAAATTAATTTAAATCTTTAAATGTTAAGGCTTTTAACAGAACTTTTTACTTTAAATAATACTTTTATAATTAACAGCAATGGCTGGTTATTTTTAAGATTAAAAAAAAGGTTCCGTTTGCCTTTACGCAAACATTTAATTAATGCTAATCTTTATTTTTTTAACAAAATGTGTTTATAGCACTGTTCCTTACAGACAAAAATCAAATTTTGTGAAATCAAGGTATTTATACCTGGAACTACATTTCAGTTTTAATCCAAATGTTTGAAACAATCCTTGACTAATCAACATATTGGCAATAAAATGTAACAACTACATAAAATCTTTCTTTAAATGTATTGCAGGCTATCAATAGTTGGCCATCTTACAAAGAAACCTAGACTATTTTTATAATATAAATTACTTGCTGTGGCTATTAGTGAAGTTCAGGTTTAACATCTAATGAAATCTTCACCTTCCCCCCAAAGTATGTTGCCTAAATCCACTGGAATCTTTCTCCGATTTGCCAAATATGCAATGAAAAAAGGTCTCAGATTAGTATGAATCTATTCCCTTTGTGTTTCTACAAAAGAACAAAAAAATTGCAAGTATTGCAGCTAGAAGTGAACTTTATTTCCAATGTTCAAAAGATGTGATAAATTATAGTTTCCCCTCATGGAATCTCTGCTGTCCATGCTACACACATTTTTTTTTGTCCTTGGCACTGCAGTAAGACTACTGTATATCTCTCTACTGAGCTGTGATTGATGCACACTAATCAAAACTCTGTTTGCTAAACACACTAAGTTACCTTAAGACTGGTTTTAACTGCATACCCAGGTAAAATATGTATTTATGAGAAAAGCCAAGAGAGAAACTGAATGATGGAGTCTAAAAATGTTACTTCAGTACAACAACAGCAAAAGAATAATCAAAGATAAAGTAAAATATATCCAGAACAATAATGGGAAATGGCTGATTTACTAAACAAGTGTTTCACTCGTGTTCATTAAGGAATAAATTTCTGTATTAAACATGGGCATTAGTATTTTGACTACTAGAAGCATTCAAAATAAATAAATCTCCAGATCCTGACAGTATCTTGCCAGATCTACTGAAGGAAAAACAAAACAAGTTATTCAGAAGCCATTGACACAACCCTTCCAACAGTCACTCCTGACACTGGTATTACCCAGGGACTGGAGAATTGCTAATATAGTCCCCATCCATTATAAGCGTGAGAAAGTGGAACTGAAAATATCCTAGTGAATAGTCAAAACCTTGCCTAACTAACATGTTAGAGTTGTTTGAATAAACAACAGTAAAAGATGTACAAACAATATATGATATCATAATTAAAAATCTCTATATTCTGAAAAACGTCCTATTAACAGAAAAATTGAATACACGTTCAGGGAAACAAGTATTTGGATTCCGAGTTGATTAATAAACAGAAAATGTACTTATTTAAATCAGGGTGATATAATTAGTGGAGTACCAAAGGCATCTGTGATAGGACCACTGATTATTTTGTTTCATATCAATGATCTAGACTCTGGCATCGTTAGTAAACTATTTATTTTTGCAGATGATACCAAATTAGAAGGATTAGCAAATATAGTAGAATCAGCAAATAAACTTAAAAAAGTATTACTGTATTTAAAATTCAAGACTAGGAAACATTGGGCAAATAAACTTTACGTTATACAATGGCAGGGTTTATAAGCAGTTAGCAAAAACAAACTATAAATACAAAATTAGATAGAAGATGGTATTAATGAAAAATATGTTTAAAAAGGGATATATTACTAGAAGTGTAAAATTTCAATCAAGGGATGCTGTGTTTAAAACTGTATAAAATACTGGTAATGCCTCTTTTACTATAGAATTTTGTGTACAATTTCGGTCACCATGTTATAGAAAAGATATTACTGCTCTGGAACCAGTACAGAGAATTGCAAACAGATGCATTCCAGAGCTTAAGGGAATGTCTGACACTGACTGACTGAAGGAAATGAACCTTTGTAGTCTTGAACAGAGAAGATCTACACAAGTATTTAAAACACAGTGAGACACTGTTCATTGTAATGAAACCATTGGACACAAGTGAAAAATATAATGAAATGGATTTCAAAATAAGAATAAGATACACATTTGTATCCAAAGCATTGTGAGAGTAAGGAAGAGGCTACCCAGATGATGTCTTGGCTTCATTTCGATAACTGTTTTTAAATGCTAAAATCCTAGTATCATTTAGTTACCAAATGAACCTGTTTTCTACTTTCCAATAAGTATTATATAACATCAAATCAGGAATAGGACTATTTTAAGCAAAGGGTCAACTTAAAAATAATCTGACTTGATTACTTAATATTCAGAATTTTAATTTACAAATCTTAAAACAGTTCATTACCAAAAATAAACAGGAGTTAGCTGTTTGTAATTAATACATACAGAATGTTTCACAAACACTTTTTGGCATCTGGTTATCCAGATCAACTAAAACAGTAAGTGGCGTAATACATCAAACAAAAGACTGAGAATTTCTTCATTACTCTATGCAACAGATCAGCATTTTGTAAACAATATGGTATTGTTCTTCATAAAACATATAATAGAATGTCAAGCAAAAAAGCTAGGTTATTAACCAGCACATAAGCACATCTGTGTTAGATATTTTAAGCCTAAAGATGAGGAAATTGAACAACAAGAGTTAGGTGGATGATATCTGCCCCTAGTGGCTGCAGGTAACTATGGTGTCCTGCAGAAGCTCCTGAATGACTGTTAACCCGAATGTGACAGATCCTTGGCTCATTCCTGATTCCTGCATACCAGTGTCTTTGTTACAGAGTGTACTTGGCATGGGATTCTTTGATTTTCCAGCACAGCTGTCAGCATGCCAAACTATTGTCTGCTCAGTGAGTGGAGTGGCATTGAGGCTATTAAACTATTATTGGAGTCACGTGCTTAGGATTAAAAGCATGTGCTTCCACATGTCCCCCTTTTTTTTCCACTGTTGACCACTTGGGCAATATCATTTGAACCATTATGTACAGTACCTCATGCATCGCAAAGGGCATTTTCTCTTTCAAACTGAAATAACTTTCTATCGTTTGACTTCAATTTCAGTTAATGCTTCAGTATAGGGTCAGCATACTTTATCATGATTTTTTATGGTCATTGTTTTACACCAAAATCATTTGACCTAGAAAGACTAATTTGTGTGTCATACACCAAGTAAAAATCTCAACTTTCCAGCAGAAACATTTTAAAGGTGTTGTAAAACAAACTTTGGACAGTGAATGGAAAGCTCTTAATTGACATGTTACACAACAACTGAAAACAAATCAAACCTATTGTAAGTTAACATTAGGCATCTACTGTATTTGATTTTTTATAAGTTAAAGCATTATTTTTCTTATATTAAAGTATTATTTTAGACAGTTTTCTATAGCATTTACATTTAGCACTTTTTCACAAGTTAACGTGATTTTTCTTTCCTACTATTCTATCCCTAAAAAGGTGCCTGCACCAGTCTTCCCAGTTCACAAATAAGTTTGTTTTCTTTAGGGATCCCAAAACCGAGACATTAATGGACAAACTGTTTCACCCAACAACCAGACAGCCCAAGAAGAAAGTCCATCCATCATCAGCAATCAGTTAACCCCACCTATACCTGTTCCTGCTATTGCAAAGGTAAATGATATCTATGTTCTTATTTTGGTTATAAAAATATATTTTAAGTAGCCTCCTGGGTGGTTCATATGATAAAGACCCTTGTCTGAGCACCAGCTGAACTCTGTGGCTATGTCACTAACTAACTGACTGACCAGGATTTTGCCCAGTTCTGCTGAGTTTAGGATGGGATTATTTAGCCATGGCTCTTGGAACTGGCATGTAGTGCTGTTGGTCAGGGCAATGGGGCTGTATTATCCGATAAAAATACAAACGTCTCCAAGATGAGAAGGTCAGAGGTCTCTGCTTTCACTTCCCCATTCTCCACTATGTGTGCCTCCACGGTTCATACTGTAGTTGCAAATTGAAATGTGGAAAAGGATACAACTGGCTATGTAAATATAGAATGTATAAAAAATAATTAGCTATTATAAACAAAAGCATATTTTTTTCAAAAATACATTTTTAAAGCAATAAATATTGCTCTGCACTCTATCATCATATGGCTAAAATGTTAGTTAAGTATAAAATAAATGTTAGATTAAATTAAAAAAAGAATAAGTTCTAACGTAAATATTTCAGGGACTAGACACAATGTGTTTTAGTACTGTTGCTTATTCTTAGATAAGACATTTTGTTATTAATGTTCTTGGCCATTTAATACACTGTGAACTTAAAATCCTTTCTTTTTATCATTCATCTGTCAAGCAGTCAAAAACATCAGATAAGAATCGACACAAGAAACCCAAAGACACTAAACCCAAAGTGAAGAAATTGAAATACCATCAGTACATTCCACCTGATCAGAAGGCAGAGAAATCTCCTCCACCTATGGACTCTGCCTATGCCAGGCTTCTCCAGCAGCAGCAACTCTTCCTGCAGCTCCAAATTCTAAGCCAGCAGAAACATCACCAACACCCACAGCAGCGCCAGCAACACTTCAACTACCAGACCCTGCACCAATCCCAGCTCAAGTGAGTACTTGACTGCAGTTCTAGCCAAAATCTCATGTTCAAACAACTCTTAGACAATTCATTATAACCAGGTTTAAGCATGCTGTGATTATGTATTTAATAAATTGTAAGTCAAAATAAGCAAGTTTTGTGTAATTTCGAACCTAACAATGTCATAAAACGTTTCGGAGAAAAAATGTCACCTTTTCTTCAATTATAAGTACGTAATCTTGGATATTACTTGTTAATCTTATCCAAAATAAACACTGACAATGAATGAAATTAATTTTATAGAGTACATATTAATTTACCATTTAATGTTTACAATAAGAACTATTTGTATTGTACTTTTTAAAAACTAAAAGGAGGAAGCTTTCAGTCAATAAATAATGTGCCAGGAAATACAGAGGTCACTAGAATCCTATGTTACGTGTTCATGGTTGAAACTATCTCTGTGCAACATGCTTGTATAACAGTATCAATCAAAATTTGATTAGCCTTTCTCTGGTGACTTATATTGTGAACTTTAAAAACAGTTTCAGGTACTATGATAAGACAGGTAAATACATCAATCAAATTTTGTTTCCAAGCTATTTACTGATCAAAAGGTACAGTCAAATTCTTGTCATAACTTTGCTGCATAGGGCAAGGGATTTGCAGGCTACTTGCAGGAATATCACACAAGGCACCCATATACTGTAGGGTATTTTAGCTTTGGAGACTTTTATTTACTTTTAATCATAGTGAGTTTATATTAGTTTAAAAAAGTTAATTTAAAATAAAAGCGAGTGGAAAGTTGTTTTAAAATCTTCACAGGCCTCCACATATTGTTGTATTTAGGCAATCCAATGAATCCCTTCCAAGGAATACAACTGCTCCAACCAGTACTATGACAACCAACACTTTGTCACCAGTGAAAAGCACATATTCTGGACAAACACCCATTTCACCAATAAAGCCAGGGCCTTTACCGACCAATCTTGATGACCTAAAAGTAAGTATGTTTCTTGTAAGAACAACATGAATCTGTTATTAAAATACGTTTGCAATTTAAAAGTATCTTTATATTGAATTGTGCCAATTATTGTAAGCAAAAAAACCTGTCAGGAACACAGGTTTTTTTAATTGGAAAAAAAGATAAGTAAATGGCTCAGTAACTTTATTTTGAATTATTTGGAATGTGTAGCACTGACCAATGTAAGACTCCTTTCTCCTCTGTAAGCTAACACTTTTGTAATGGGACACACTTTTAATTTTTCAATATTTTTCAAAGGTGTCTGAGCTGAGACAGCAGCTGAGAATCCGGGGCCTGCCCGTATCTGGAACCAAAACATCGCTCATGGAGCGGCTTAGGCCTTTCCAGGATCCCAGTGTCAGCCCAGTGTCCAGCTCCAGTGACATTACCACCGTCACGTTCCCAGTAACTCCCAGCAGCTCAATGTCATCATACCATTCTCAAAGTTCATCAAGCACAATGTCCAATGGGTTCTACCAGTTCAGCAGCACCAGCTCTACTCCTCCAATTTCACCAGCCTCTTCCGATCACTCTGTCAGCGGCTCTTTACCAGACACCTTCAGTGATGTTACCATGTCCTCTCCACAGTTTGCCCTGCAGCCTTCCCCTGCTCACATGAGTGCTGACGAAGGGCTGGCCGGCAGCATGAATGGAGGTTGCTTGCAGACTGAAGGTGAAGGCCTGGATGCAGAAAAAGACAAAATGCTGGTGGAGAAGCAGAAGGTGATTGACGAGTTGACCTGGAAACTCCACCAGGAACAACGGCAAGTAGAGGAACTCAAGATGCAGCTCCACAACAGGAAACGCAACCACAGCCAACAGGACACCCAAGTCTCCCCTCATCAGCAGCAACACTTCTTTGGTGTTTCCATTAAGCAAGAGCATGTAGTGTCCAGTTGTCCACTCTCCTCCAAGCAAATGAAAAGTCCTCCCAGCAGCTGTATGGAAAACCTGAACTCCATGTCTGGCTTGACGAGCCCCCGCTGCCTGGATTCAGCCAGTGGAAGTCCAATTCTGTCTGCCTTCCTGAGTCCCCAGTGCTCACCACAGCACTCCCCGCTCACCAAGTCAGCAAGCAGTCCACAGCACAGCAGCCTGCCTCCATCCCCTAACACCCCATACTTGCTGTCCATCTCACCCACTGCACAGACTGGAGATTGTCGCAGCCGCTCACCACAGCAAAACGGCAACAGACAACGGACAATACAGGTATACAGGAATAACATTTACAGTAAATACACAAATAAATGCATCGTTCTTCAGTCTGACACACATTGGTTCTGGCCTTTTCTAAAGTCACTACCAAAGATGTTTCTGTTTTTGTAGGTTCAGCAGAATAGCAGTGGCCAACCTGTGAAATCTTGCCCATACTCTACTGACCAAAGAAACATGCAACCTGTATTCACTAGTGCTACTGACAATACCTTCAACCAAAGGGATCTCTCTACACCAAGGAGTCCAAATGTACAACACAAGGTAAAAAGAGGTCCATTTGGTGCCTGTCAATTCTAATGTAAAACATTTAACAATTACCTCCTCTAATCTTAATCTGTGCAAAAATAAAGGGCTAAGAAAGGCTAAATAACTGCCATCACATCACCTAACTGTTTTCTGCTTTTCTTTAATCCGTCTCTTTTCTTAAGCATAGCTAGTAGTTGTTCTGAGTAATAATGCAAAAGGTTTACAAAAATACAACTGCAAACAAAGCAACTGATCATAAGTTCTTCCCATAACAGTTTCATCCTTTGGACCCTCCCTGCTAAATCTCCAGATGCACAGTGTTAAATACCCCCACCCTCACATATTCTTCCTGTTTATTACTGCTGTTTCCTGTTAACAGCAAACAAGACTGTATTATATCAGGACAGTTTAAATAGTTGTAAATAAGGGATGCCCTTAGAACTGACATTTATGAAAGGATGTAACCACATCCACAAATTTGATCACTTCAGAGAGTGTTCATAACTAGGCTAGAAACTATTTTTGGACCAGACATATAACCTTAACTTTTACTTTTTTCATGTAGATGGCTATATTACACTCTCCAAGACACGTGGGTCAAAAGTATCCAATCTCTTCTGCTGCCTTCTGTAGCTCAGACTCTACTGCATCAAAGATAAAACAGCCCCCCTCCTATGAGGATGCAGTAAAGCAGGTAAACCAAATTTAATGCAAATTCAAGCCAGAAACAAGACACTCAATTGTGCTTCTAATGCAAACATGTAATAACTCATTCTTGCTCGTTCTCACTTCCATCAAAGGCCCTGCTTGCTTTTCCCTGGCTTTCACTTGCATCACAATCCTATTCTTGTCTAGTTGTATTTCTACTCCCTTCAGACAGTTCTGTCAAAGCTAATGGATAGCCCTATTTTTGTTAAAGTACAGCATAAATCAAAATATCAGCAAATACAAAAATGAGATATTAGGGAATATTTGATAGTCTTGAACGGCAATTTACAACAGTGTATTGAAGAGTTGAAAATTGTGTTGTATTAATAGATTATGTTAAGGCTAACTTAAATTAATAACTATAGTTAACAGGATTGCAAATTTCCCATTTGAAAATGTAAAAGACCCTGTTCCTTAAGCAATGGTTTAAACTTTTATATTAAAGCTAAGCAGAGTATGTGTAGTGTTGATAATATCTGGTGAAATAACTGACATATATAATTTCAGCAATTGACCAGAAGCCAGCAGATGGACGAACTCCTTGATGTGCTCATTGAAAGTGGAGGTAAGCAGAGAGGACCCCACACTACACACAATACAGTCATTAAAATAACAGATTCTATTGATTATAAAGTCTGTTTATTAAATTATTGTGTGTTTAACCGATGTTCAGATTTTGAATTATAATATCCAATTACATATAGTATTTTTAAAATACAGAACCTTTTCACAAATATTTCTAAACTACAGATAAACATGCCATTTTATTCATAATTGTTTTTTAGTTTAAATTTTCATTTCAGGTTTTAAGTTATTAAAAGGGTAAATTTAAAAGATGACAGTGTCAAACTTTTTTTTACAAGTTTAAAATGTCAATTTCATTTAATGAAAATAAAAACATGAACAATAAAAGGTCCACATTTACATTAAATAAGCACCACAAAGAAGAAGAGTTCAAATTGACAGCTCTTTAAGGTTTTGTGATGGTTTTTCACATTTTGCTGTGGTGAAACTGCCCATTTACACAAACATTATACAGAAAGTGTAAATAATGTTCTCATTTTTTAACCAGCCATCATTCAGCACTGTTTAACAGGAGTGCCAGTGAATTATTAATCGAGACAGAAATATCACAAATAAGACTACCTCCTTGGGTGTGAACATACGCCAAAGCGTTTTTTCAAGGTTAAGTAATCTTCTATGGTGTCACTTTGTGGTGTATGAGTTATTGCTTCATAACTGAAAACAGTTTGGGCTCCAAGCTTTACAAGACTGCTTTCCCAATTGCTTACAATATGTTTAATGTAATATATTTTCACTGCTTAAGTATATCCAGATTTCTTTGCATCAGAGTACAGGAAAGGGCAAGGTTGAGATTCTTTGGAGTTTAAATATGTATCATGAGGTTCTGAACCCTACACACCACACCTTTGTTCGTGTCAGATGTATCATACTTTAATGAAAAAAATCCAATAAAAAGTAACTGTAAGGTAACAATAAATTACTAGATTAAGCTGTGCTTTTTCTATGTGTTTCCAGAAATGCCTGCTAATGCCAGGGAAGAAAGGCCCTGTATCACAAAAGTTGTGCCTCACATTACAGTATCCTCTGGAAGCTCCAGCATGCCTGTTCCAAAAATGCATAGGCACTTTGAACACGTGTCCCCCACCCAGCTTTCCTTGGAGCATGCTCCCAACAGCGACCATCACCTTGAGGCTTTATTAAACAGTCCCATAAGCAGAGCAAATGACATTATTCTTCTAAAAATTGGGAGTGATGACGCTCAACTAGAAGAGGCACCAGAGGGGTTTTCTGGATCCCATCAGGATAAACTGCTGAACAGCCGTGAAATGATGGAAACTCCACTCTCGCCAATGGATGCCAGGGTATCACCTTCAACAGAAGGACAAGGACTAAACTTGAATTTTACAGAAGCACCATGGGAAACCATGGAATGGCTAGATCTTACTCCACCTAGTTCAGCATCAGGCTTTAACTCTGTTCCATCATCTGGACCCAGTATTTTCAACACAGAATTCCTGGATGTGACAGACCTTAACTTGAACTCTGCCATGGACCTTCATTTAGAGCAATGGTGAACATTAAGGTACCCTAAGAATTATTTCAAAGCTTTGTTGCATTCTCTATGATTTGATAGCAACACAATGAATACATATGTTAAAAAGGATGACAAGTTTTAAATTGTTTAAGAAATATACAAGGCATTCGCTTCTATCTAGTTTTGTAGAGGTGATCTGAAAAGGAACATTTTGAAAAGAGAAAAAATGTTGTCTTGGATACTCTTGGCTAAATACCTAGAGCTGCAATCAGTTGAATGCAGCTATGATTACTATGCATTACTAACTTCCCATTTTGTTCTGGTCCATCAAGACTTTGAGCTTGCCAGGACCACTGTCCTGTAGTCACAGCCATTTGTTACAGGTACGTCTGTGGCAGTACTTCAGTATCATGATGCCAAATATTTGAAGAAAAAAAAAACGTTTTGGTATTACTGGAAAAAAATAAATACAACTGAAAAGGGGTTTTATTTTGATTGACCTATTGGCTGAAAGGTACAAATTTACAATTATATAAAATACTTGCTAAACATAAATAATATGTAAATAGTATATTATTTGTATTTTGTAAAAACGAAGAAAATGTGTAAAAGCAGGCAGAGGTCTCCATTAAATCAGAGCTTTTTCAGCATGTAGCACAATACCACCTACACTGTAGTGCTACTGCACAGAAAATGATAGATACTCCCTGTTTTTATTGTAAATATATGAATGCTCACATTGCACAGTTAGTATAGATCTATTTATCACAAATTGCATTTTATTGGATGTTTTAATTGCAGGAGTGAAAGCATTTAGAAGCTATTCCCTGCAAATATTTTATAGCATTTTGAAATCACATTTGCTTTACATATTTATGAGCTGCACCACATTAAGTGGAAAAGTAGTATATAAAACATTTATTTTTATGAATATAGAACATTTCCTTACACAACAAAAAACATGCATGATTTTCCATGGAAAAAATTGGGCAAACAAGTAGTAACTATACTCATAGATATTCCACCTTTCTCAAAGTCATATCATTTTTCATATTTAAAATGTCGTCATTATTATACTCTCCACAAAACATTTTCGAACTGAAAGTACTAAAAAGCTTAAGTTAGTTTTTTTGCTGTCAGATAGACAGCACATAGAAAAAATAAGTGACAATGGAACCTGTATTTTCCTGAAACAGATGACATACATACATTTTATTTAAGCATTTTTCATCCAGCTAAAGTATCCTGCTGACTCCTGATTTGTATATGCACCTTTTAATGGTGCCACTAATATTTTATTTTTAACCTAAGTGATATTTCTATTAAGGGGTGATTTTGTGCCACCCCTTCTACATTACAACCTCATCCCAAACAGTTTAGGATTTTTTTAGTATTGGACACAAAATCCAGGAGTGTGCCTTGATTTATCTTAACCTCCACCACTAGATTGTAGCCCTAGTCTTACTACTCTGGGATCAACTTTATTTCACTTTTGTTAAAAAAAAAACATACAGAGTACTGCACCATTTTCCTTTAGCAAAATATCCTAGAAGTGCTGAATTTCTCAGATTTATTACTTTCAACTTCATATTTTGCATAAAACATTCCAATATTATATAATTTGGATTTTCTTATGTATGCCAAGTATTATGTAGATGTAGGTCTAACCACACACAGTTTATTTAAAAAACTCACCTAAAAACGTTTTGTAATTTAAACAAAAGAACCTTCTGAATTATTTATATCTTTTTCTAAAATATTTTTTATTCTGAAATGTTGAAAGTACTGAATAATTTTCTATAAAGGTGAAAAGGTCCAACCAAATCAGCACTTCATTGTAATATCTACCGATTATATCAGTTTGTTAAATGACATTTTATCTTCAAATTATATATCTGGTCTTCCCAAAAGCAGGGCTATACTACTATGTGTTGTTTTTGAAGGGTACATATTGTACTACAAACCTCAGTGACGATAGCCTTGCAGCTTCCAACTACATTGTTATTCTCAATCAAAATTAATATTTATCATGAGAACTGGAGCTAAACACCCATTGTCTCTTAGAAGAACAGCCATGACAGACATGAAAGATATATGGTACATGAACATTTAGATTACCATTCAAAATCAGATAAACTTTTCTTATTTCAATCCACATATTGGTACTTAATTTAATGGGTGCAAAAAACAGCCATGAAAAATATCAAATAACATTTCCAAAACCTATCTGCTTGTTAGATTTATTTGGTTGTTTTATTCTATGCTTTTACAGCACATCTTTCCCAGCACATCATTCAACAATTAATACAGATCAGACCGTTATAAGCAATCATATTCTACGTTCTATAAATGCAATGGAAAATCCATTGTTGCCTTCACCATATAGAAATTAGTAGAGATGTGTGATTTTATACTGTGCATGCCTTCAGTAATTTACATTGAATGTTTTAGGTACTGTGGCACAAACTTAATAGTTTAAAGTTCTGTGACACAAGTGCATTAGTAATTTACCCTACTATCAAAATGAAATGGTATTCTGCTTTAAAAATGAAACAAAGCAAAAGTGAAGGGAATGTATGCTTTGTGAAGTTGTTTAAATATTTGTAATTAAAATAAAAAGGTTTTATATTTTGTGTTTCACAACACGTTTTCCAGGAAACTATATTTTGTATGAAGAAAGTACATTGTGAAAAGCCAAACAAATAACACTGAATTTTGTAGAGCTAAGATGTTAGGAAAAGGTGATAGATAACTTTCAGGTGACTGATGTAGAAAAAATTGCAAATATTTAAAAGGAATATTCTTTCAAAAATACAATAAAACATTTTGAAGACATATCAATACAAGAACCTGAATTTGTTGTCTATAAAATGTAGTATGAGCCAGTGGATACTATCGCATGCCAGACCTGTTCAACAGAATGAGAATATAATGCAAAAGCTAAAACAACAAGAAGCCTTAGATAATGTGCAAGTATATCGTAATAATTAGATACAATTCAAAACTTTTGCAAAGTTATTTGTAATAATCTAATGCCTTTATATAGAAGTTCTTGACTACTCTGTGAGCATTTTGTGCAAAATGCATGGCTACTGTAACACATCTCCCTTTTTAAGTGAAATAGCTTGTGTTAACAATGGTTTTTATTTTATTATACCAATATCAGGGAGAAAAATAATATATTTTTGCTAGCTGCAGTTTTCAAACATCGGTGTTGCTTTTCAGAAAACTGTAAAGATCTTCAATTTTGATCTGGATCAATGTTTCACAATATAAAATAAGAAAATACACAAATTAAAATATACACTTATTTATGGTTTTTTTCAAAGGAGCACAATATGGGATACAACTGCCAACAACAGAGGCCAAAGAACAAATGTCACTTTGACCAACTCGAAGGGCCAGATTCCCTATCAGCTGACTGTTTTGTTTATTGCACTCTGTAAACAACACCCTTTTTATCTTCATGTGCTTGATCGTGTACTACATCATCTACATATATAAATACCATTCTTTTCAAGCCTTATCTAAGTTCATTTTGGAATTATGTGTTTTTAATAAATCTTTCACAATATGGTCCTTAATTTGTTCTGTAGCGAATTTGTTCCTGATATTTTTGCTCAATTTTGAACAAAGCTTGATTATTCTTTAACCAGAGTTTTACAGATATTTCTAAAATGGAAAATAAAATCACTTACCCTTCCTGCTTCCTTTTAAATACAAAATATAATTTGAGCTACTGATCAACTGAATTAAAGATTTTCCGCATTTCCACTTCAACTTTGTAGAAGCACATTTTCAATGAAAGTTTAGTTAAGATGCACATAATATTGACCCAGACACTGTTCATTCATCTTTTATACACAGTCTTTCATTGACAATTTGTCAGGTATATAATCCTACCATATAATGAATAATTATAAGCTCTTGACTATTGATGTATTACATAAAAACATGTAGTGAAAATAAACTACCTGTGACAGATAACATTGAAAATCTAAGCTTTTTACTCTAGGTATCCCATTTTGAAAGCCGATAAGTGGTTGTTCTTTACTCTAAGAAAGGTTACAGGTCTATATTGTTCAAATTGAAAGCAGTAAAATATACCTCTAAGTTAGTTCAAGACAAATCTTTATAGCTTATTATCTATCCAAAAATCAATTTCTAATCCACTACACCAAGAAACCAGAGCCTATCCCGCCAAGCAATGGGTGCAAGGCAGGACACACCCTGGATGGGACACCAGTCCTCAGCAGGGCTCACACAGACACAAACACACACTCACATCAGGTCCAATTTTCCCAGAAACACAAACCCAGATATGCACATAAACACAGGGAAAACATACAAGCTCAACACAAATAACACCCAAGAAGCTGAACCCAGGGACCCAGTGCTGCAAGGCAGTATTGTTAACCACTGCACCACTTTGCTGCCAACTATGGCCTGTTAGCAAAGTGGAATCTTGTATTACTTTTCATACAATTTATCAGTTACAGTAGTCATTATACTGTATATAGAAAGTTTGTAAAAAATACATCATTCAGATATTTTAAAATCACTACCTTTTCTGTAATGCCTATTCTCTTTCAAAATGCATGTCTCAAAATTAGGATTTGAGTCATGAGTGGAAGGTGAAAGTTTCATTTTGTGCCTGAGCAACCTTCCAGAGCAACTACACCAAGGTTTAAGTCGAACTACTGTTTCTAACATTTTATTTGTAGGTTAATCATAGACTGATAGAGACCAACACAGAACAGAGAAAAATAGCTATCCACTACCATGGCAATGTTAAGTAATTGTAGGAGGAAATGTAAATTTGAAGGATTTATTAACTACTGTATGACCTCTCATTTAAAAGGATCATTTAATTTCGACCAACCACCTGCAAGTTGGGAGAGACTAGGAAATTCAGTTATCTCAACTGAAAATAAGATAGTAAAGAAACAAAGGTATCCACTGCAGTCAGTATGACTCACTGCACAAGACGTGTACAGTATTGTCTGCATGATGCATTGAGATGGTTTGCTTTTTTTCTTTGCTCTAAACAGAAAATGCACATCTCAAAAAGAATGTCTGAACATTTTTTGGCAAAGGTCAATAAATATTAAGTGCAAATATTTAAACAACCTCTGCATTATACCAATAGCCATTCCATTATTTCTGACCCTTCTTTAATGAGATCTCAAAACAGGGACAATATTTTACATAAAATAACAGACATTCTTACTGCTCTTACTGGAATCAAAACGATCAAGCTCTACAGTGATCAAATGTGTACAACATACACCTTCTATCTGCTCTTTGACAGGTTGTGTAATTTCCAAACATAAAGCATCACTGACAAATAATAAATCTTTATCATACTAAAAATAGTATGTTGTACCTGATGAAGACAAAACTGGTTAAGCCAGTGGAGTGGAGAGAGATGAAGAGATGTGTGAAGTCGAAACCTGCGTCTCCCCTGCTCCCGCCTCCTCCACTCTCCCAGCTTTTGTTCTCCTATGCTAATTAATCCTTGCTGTCTGCCCTGTCTTTCTCACACCCACTTCTCTTTTCAGCATGGAATAAACCTATTACTTGTCAAATATGTCAAAATGTCGATTTAAGAGCTCTTTCTCAAATCATGGCATCTTTCCTAAAGTCTGTTGCAATTTTGTGAAAGACAACTTTCTATGAACAGAAGCTTTGGATGTCAGAGACTGGGAATGACGAAGGCTTGGTATGCCTGCCTGCCTGTTTGTAATGCTGTAATAAAAACATAGCTTTATTTCTATATACAAATGGAATTAGTGGCTGAATGCCAATAATATCAACAACTTCATAATTTTTAAATATTTACCTTCACCTTAGTTAAGTTAAATGTATTTTCCTACACTTGAAAAAGCTGCATTTACAGTACTATACTACAAAACTAGCATCAGAAGAGGGTGGACATTAAGGAGTATTTTAAAAATATGTACTTGGAATTAAGACAATTTTAAGCATAAATTAAGATCTTAAAGTGGATGGCTACTTGTTGAGTGTACTGAAAGCACACTCGAGATGCCATTCTGAAAGCATTTAATTAAGTAATATAATTCATATACTTCATTTCATAGAGACTGTACTGTACATAACTGCACAAACAAAACGTCACTGTATCCATAAGTCACTGAAGCTTTTCTACATCAATGTTAGATTGTCCAAGAATGCACTTTCCTTCTGAAGCCTATTCTTCAACCTGTACAACATAGTAAGTACATAAATTCCAGTTGTACAAATGATAAACAAGTGATTAATTATATCAATTTAAAACAAAGTTTTTTTGTGTTTTGTTGTTGTTTTCCTGAAGATAAAAAATTAAATCCCTCTGAGAAACCAGCAATCATTTTCCTTTCCTGACTTCCATGCTTAACTTCATAATGACCTTTTCTGACAGACGTTGGTATATTTCATTAAAGTTTAGCCATTATAATAAAGGAGTCTGGAACAGAGTCAGTTTTGTGATAAATTAAGGTTTACGCTTCGCCAAGCCTGTCTGATCTGTAAAAGTCAAGCTGACCTACCAACTACTAAAGCAAAGGCTTAAATGCTATATTGATCATCAATCTCTTAGAAATTAATTAAATTTGAATGTTAATGTCAGAAGTTACATCAGCAAATTGTAAGTTACATCAGAAAAAGTAGGCATTTTTCTCTTTATACTGAAGTACCATTAAAGTGATCAACAGTCTCTTCAGATTTACTCAGCACTGCATTTGAAAAATTGCCACAGTTGAATGACATGTAGACTACGCAAACCAATACTGTACAGTATGTCTACTACTACACCATTCACAGTCCAGACTTTCAACTTCCACAGTATTGAGCAGGTATATTACCATATAGTCTACTGTGTGTGAAGAAGTTAAAAAAAATAACAAACAAGAATACTATTGGGAACAACATCAGGCCCTGCCTTCAACATCAATTTATATAATCAACACAACTTATGATTTTCCTACATCGTTCTCTTTCTTTAGACTTAATGTTTATTTATTAAGCCAGTTCAAAGAAATTGCGTAATTATTTCACTTCAGGGAACTCTTTTTGTTTGTGGACATTAAATCAGATACTGCTTGGAAACCAAAAGCAAAGCAAACAGATTAAGTAGTTAGAGCTTAATGTGAAATTACATTAAAAAAGCATGTTGTCATCTTTTTGTTCTGATAATGTCCAGAACATTTTTGTTGGTATTTAAGACCCTACCTACTTATGTGCAGCAAATGCATTTCTTAATATAAATCGCTGTCAGCATCAGATTTTCATTCTAATGTATTGAGGCTTTATTCGGCCTTATGCCAGCTCACTCAGAGAAAATGTTGATTAAAGTTTGAAACAGGGTCTGTTGAGAGAGAACAGGTGTGTAGGAATCGAAACTTTAGAAAACTCACATCCTAGCTAGTACTGCATATAATTAAGATATTGACACAATAACACATTGTATTCATACAATCCAGAAAACAAAGGACAGAGCTATCTGTATTCTGCATAAATCGGAAAAGGAATCAATAAATTACAATGCATTCCTAGTTAAAGATCAGAGATGTAATGGAAAAGTTAAATAATTTTGCAAATGATCAAGATTAATATATTATGAGCGTTTTCCAGATCAAGAAACATACATTAAGTTAATATATCCAGACTATATATGCTAACCTATCATGGAATCAGCACTACTGGACAAAACATAAGTGATTCTCATTTCTGTATTCAAAACATACTTTAAGTATATCATGGATAGTAGCTTTTGCATTTTGATTGTTGTACAATTTGAAAATGTTATATGTCCTTGAATATATTTTTCTCTACAGTTTTCTTAATCAAGGGAAGGACTGACACATTACTGAAATGCAGAATAAAACCAATAAGAAAAAGACAATCATGAATATGAGGACAATTGCAGTAGTAGATACAGTACCTACACAAACATTTAGAGGAAAAGTATTAATTTTCTTATATTATTATATAAGATTATTATTTACATACAATATTGGCAGGCAATACAAAATCATGAAGCACACTTCAATGTGGTTAACAAGACACTCTATTACAACTAAGTTCACTTAGAAGATTTTTTTAGAATGAATGCTAGATCTATCACTCAGTAGTCTGCTTAACCATTCTGTTATTCTGTTATCGAGTTTTCCATACAATTATGCCTTACTATACTCTAGCGACGTGAAAATGTTTTATAGCCATGAGATGGCAGTATACTCCTGTTCATTTTCAGGATGTACTGCCTTGATTTCATTTTACACAATTATTATAGTCTAAAGATACTTGTCTATACCACCAGGTGGCAGACTGCAGTAATTCAGCACTACCTTTCAATTGTTTGTTTCTGCGTTAGCTCACCGATACTAAAAGGTAATATAGCTTTGAGCAAAATAAAAATGATCTTACTTTAGAAATATTTTACATGAATAATATTAAATGACACTATTTAAAAATCAGTGAATCCGACATGTGTTATATTTCGGAAATGTAAAAATAGTTACTAGTTTAGACATTTAATTTGGTCGGCATGGCATAATATAATCTAGTAATAGGTTTATTCCATGCTGAAAAAAATAATAAAGAAAACACAACGTTTCGGCCGTGGAGCCTTCTTCAGGTGTGAGCAAATGATATAATCTAAATTAGTCTAAAGTAAATCTACTTTACACTTTAAAGAGAAGGATTGTAGTCTCTAAAATGTGTGTCGTAGGCCGTGAATAAAATACAAATACAGGTTTAAAAAAACGATTATTTTAAACAGCTTGATGTACAGTAGTTATCTTAACCATAGTAATTTATACTTTTTACCTTATTTCATTCTCAGAGTCCTTCGGTTTAGTTATTTGTATATCCATTGATAATTTCTAGAAAAAATATAAATATTGAGCAAGTTTATTTGCTTTTTAAAATATCATACCTTTTCGGTTTAGCATCTCTGTAAACGTGAAGAATGTTTCTAGAAACTGCTTCAAACAAATGTTTTTCCAGTCGAGTCTGCAGAAGAAAAAAAATGACGTACTGTAATCAAACATGTAAATACTGTTTCACAGAATTTCATTTTAAAAAGCCTGATATTTAACAAATTTACTATTACAAGCTATTTAATATACCAGTGGACCTGAAGAGAATTTCTCCCCCCAAAAAACGACGTCCTTCATTCCTTTAATAATTACTATTCAATTACTATTAAAAAAAAACTATCCGTTTTAAAGAGCTTAAGTTTCTAAGGGTTAATTTAAGGGTTCGTTCTAACCCTGGGATATTTAAGCTGTTAGACAAACTTCTGCTTAATTAAGGCATTTTTAAACTCACATGAAGTTAGATATTAGTCATTGGTATGAAGCCTTAGGCAGTTCCCATGTTTCTTATCCATCTCCATATAAGTAGAATCTCAGGATATCTGCAGAACAGGGCGATATGGTACAGTAGCACAGTGGTAAGTTAGCATTGCTGTCTCACAGTGTTGGGGCCCTGGATTCAATTTCAGACCTGAGGTGCTATCTGTGTGGAGTTTGTATGCTGCATTGGACTGGCATTCCATCCAGGGTGTGTCCTGACTTGTGCCCGTTGCTTACCAAGACCAGCTTTGGCTATCCCTTCATTACCCTGTATCCTTGTATTGGTTAAAGCAGTTATAAATTGAATGGAAAGAAAATCAATTTTCTTTCATATGGGGAAAAGTATACAGCTATATCCCATACAGTAACAGCAAAATGTTCAAATTATCCTTCAGGCTTATTTTTGAGGGCAGATCTTCAATCCTAGAGGGCCAGAAGGCTTTTGGTTGTCTTTTCATCCAAGTCCTTAATTACCTAATTGAACTGTATATTTTCTGTACTGAAGAGAGCTAGAGATTTACAGAAACCTGTAGAACCTGTTGGATAGCTGATCTTGAGGACTAAAATGGGGTTCCCCTGAAGAGCTTTCACAAAAAAGCTAAATTTCTGCTTTGGTGTGAAACAATTCTACATGTGGCTGCTTACAACTCAACCTAAGTGGTTCTCTGATGGATGGACTTATGAATACTTGAGAGACATTAAAAAAGCCCGGTGGTACATACTGTAGTTCACCAGAATAACGTGCCACCAAAAAGTAGCTCACTAAATTAAAGCAAGAAATATAGTGCACTCCCCCCCCCAGAGAAGGGAAGTACATCTAATAATTGCAAGCCTAGTCTTAATTAACAATGTGAAGCATGCTTCAAATTTGCTTGTGATAAACCTTTTACCTAGTGGTCAATTTTCCATTAGGCAGTGTTCCTACAAAAAGTGCGTTCCTGGAAAAGAGGTCAATGGAAAAAAAACAGGCTGTTGCTATAAGCAGTGTTTATTGATCCAGTAGGTGGCACTCTCCCCCCCCCCCCGGACCAGAATTTACAAACCATTGCTCCAGTTTTGCAATCATGGACACTACCCTGTAGGCACATTGCTTTGAATGAGATATTAAACGGAGGTCATGCCTATGCGGCCATATAAGATCCCACAAAGTAGGGCATTAACCCCAGGTGTTGTGTCTAAACTTTAATCTAGACTTGCACAGTGACCAACCTCAAACTTCTTTTTCTTACTTCTCCTGGTGTTGCAGAATGGTTACCACCTACTGTGGGTTGGGGCTGCACTTCTGTGGCAGATGAAATGGGTCTCCTCCTACAGTATATGTGAAGCACTGCATGATGGAAAAACACTAAATGCAGTTATCGTTTGCCTAGTGCAATATGTGATGATTTTGAGTAAATCATGATTCTGGGCCTTGTATGGTTTTACTTTCAGCTTCACGTAGGCCTATATGCAGAAACTGGAAATTATTTCTTGTCCTCTGTTTTTACTTTTTTTTTACAAATACAGAGAGATGAACACCAGCTTCCCAAGAGAGCACAAACGGAAGTTCTAAGGATCAATATTAAGAGCCTGCCAAAAGTTGTTCAGAAACATGGCCTGTGAGTGGTTTTTACTCAGTAATTTGAATAAAGTGAGTAAATTACAACCAGTTTATTTTTTGCCATTGTGTGTTTCCAGGCCTTACAAAATGAGAAATGACAAGGTCACAGTCACATCCTAATTTTATTACAACTGACCTGCAGGCAGACTAAAGAACTACTACATGAACACTTAGATTCCATTTATAATGTCTTAAATATATGAAGTCAAACCAGTAAATAGGATAAAATAGGAGATCTTAAAGCAGGTGTTACATTTACTTTGCTCCTGTTCACAGACATATAAGGCAATATCCCTGCACATCAGCTTTTTAAATTTTTATACATTTTCTATAGTACAGGAAATAACCCAAGTTCACAATGTACAGTTATAATATTTTCACAGCTTGTGAACATTATACACATTTGATTTTTTAATAAAGATACAATGTAATAAAATCCTCACCCTCAATAGCATTTTATTATCTAATATTAATTTTCTAATTGACATTTTGTACAGTCATTCCTTTCCATAAGAAATTCTCTCTATCATTAGACAATATCCACTGTGTTCGACTCCCGTATCCCAACAGTATAACTGCAAACACTTAAGTGTTCATAATATGTAGACTATTCCAGGCCAGGGCAACAGTGATACACTTTCTTGTAATAGACGGTTAACAGTGAAGAAAATGTAATTGTACAGCAAATTACAGATTTATTTTCCTACCTCCTCCTCTTGTAGTAGAAAGTTTCGCAACTATCCTTATATGGGGAAAATGTTTAATTTTATCAGGTGCCATGCAAGACAGGATTTTTGTTTTCAACTGCAAAAATGCAAATAATGTTATTTTTGTCAATTGACAGTTGAACTCTTTTGTGCACTCACAATGCAGCACTCCAAGTGCAAAGTTGTAGTACTTAATATATTTTTGTATTGTCCTACCGCATGCAGTAGGTATCACCCTCAGAAACCTACAACATCAAGCTGTAGTTAAAATAGTTACATGTCATGGAAGAAGTCTCAGGGTTGGGGGGCGGGGGGCATTCTTCCAACATAAGCTTTCACAAATCTGCAAAATCTCTTACAAACATGCTGAATGCACTGCTACACAACCTGAAATAAGCTTTAAGGTCTGGATCTGTTCTCAAAGTATGTTGCTACACTTAGAAAGAAATTTTAAACTGCTGTAAGTTTCTGTATAGGTGAGATTTATACACACATACAGTCATGGACAAAAATGTGGACACAATCTGAATACAGAGAAAATTTAATCTGTGCTAGAGAATGGGATAAAAAACATCAAGTAAATGAAAGAAAATTAAAAATGACAAAATATTTTGCATATTAAAATCATAAAGCCACATTATAAAGTTCAGTTATTTTTTAGATAAGAGTTTGTATACCCACTTATTTACCAAGAATGTGAAGTTGTCCATGACTTGTAGGTTTGCATGTGTCTAAACATATCTATACATAAGTACGCTCACAAACTTACACTGCATATATCTAAATCCATGTCTCATTATTGAGCTTCTCAGTGTCACTGTCCAAGTACATTTTTTGGTAAAAGTTGTGTTTACATCACCTTAATGTTAAAATATATTTTATATATATTTCTTTTTTCCTTAACACAGCAAAATAAAACAACAGTCCCATGGTATTAACTGTGACATTGTGAAGCAACAGATCTCTTTTTTTTTAATCTGCACATCTATTGCACAGTGAAGAAAACACACATCCTTGCATGGTCTGATGGGCTCCAGGTGAAGGACATTCCACTTTAATACGGTCCTTTTCCTTCTCACCTCTTGGGAGTAAGGTCCGCTTTAAAAACTTACACACACAATGCCTAAAACCATACGCATGGAACAGGTGGAAGCTTCACATAGAACTTGTTTCCAGTAAGCTGCTTTAAAAGTCTCCAAATTAAATTCCACAAGTGATTTTATATATACGCTTTCTTCCAAAATACTATGAATATAATTCCAGATTTTATGACTATACTGTGTCCACATAAGATCAAGATGAGGTCTCTTTTGTCAAAACCAAGACTTCACGGTGTGATCAGTTACTAGAATGCACTTTTATATATACATACATATACACACATATGTATATATATACTGTATATAAACTATAATATACACACAAGTTGAAATGAACACCAATCTTATTGCACATGGTGTTATGGGATTTTTTTTTCTTCTTTTAAACACTGCAATATGTGACGAAACAAATCTTTACACCATGGGTTCTTTATCGGGCCCTTCTTCCACAGTTCTTCCAGCACTTCATCAATCCACATACATGGGGGAGCTGGGAGAAGCAGGCATTTGATCCAGGATCTTACAGACATAGCTGGCTACATCTACTGTGCGCTCTTCATACATCAAGATGAATGGGTGTTTCTGTAAAAATAAAGGTTAACAGTTTTACCAGTAACATGCAGGCTATGCAGTACTGCAGTAGTTTCCCATATTTCCACACACAATGGCCAAAATACTTGGAACCCAAAGTCACATGAACACAGTAGGCAAGTAAAGAACAGGTCATCTGTGACTGGCTTCTGGAGCAAGAGACTTCTATCACCACTCTGACCAGACAAAAGCTCAGATTTAAATTCCTACAGTGGGGAGTCAATGTCACATTATTTCTGATCCTACACCATGTTACCCTCAATACAAACCCATGAAGGCAAAATGGCATGGGATTAGGATGGAAATTTCAGAATGTTCTGTTCTGCATTCAGAGATCTGAAACTGTAGTGGGAATAGCATGAGGGTGGAAGGGGCAGCTGCCCCCCATTAACAAACATCTAGGTTTTTGGAGCCATCTTTGGTGACTACGGTTGCAACAGTATTTGGTAATGTCGAGAATTACGAATGCAACACAGAACCACAGTATTAAATACAGAGATTTCATTTGGATTTCTCTTCATGCAACAAATGAGTAATTTAATACTGCAGACCATAGCATAATCACATCCATTTGAAGCAAGTACAGTACATAAAGTTTATGCAAACTGCACATATTTGTTCATGTTGTCACGAGCAACTTCACTGATCTGCCTCAATGAAGTCAGATGCACTAAAGCACATGAAAAAAAACGTGCAGTCGGCTAGTGTCACCTGTACAGTGGATGTGCTACTGTAACAGAGTTGAGTAGTGTACCAGAGCAAAGCAGTGAGCTAGTTAGCTCTGGAGACGAGCAAAAAATTACTTACATTGTTTTTTAGGCTACTTTGCTCTGTTGTAAGTTTCATTATACATTTCATGCAAGGTGCAACCAGGTGTGATCTCACTGTTGTAACTTTGCATTACTTTTTTGAATAATGTGTGCTTCTCTACTATGTAATTGAAGTGGCAGTGTCTGTGCTTGACTATTAAAAGAAAATATTGATGGTTTGGCTATGCTCCTAATGTACTGTAGACAGCCTTGACTCTGCATGCTGTAGTATTTAGATTAAAGCCTATTCATTTACCAAGCAAATCATTTAAAATTCAGGTCTAACAACTACAACTGACTTCTTGGAAAATATAATTATTTCATCTACATATGCAGTTTTATTGAGCTGTGCTGTGGAAACCCAGGCCAGTTATAATATATTTTCAAATTGGAACTCTCCCTCTTTTTGTGATGACACTGTAGTTCCATCCCTAGCCCATTTAGGGGTTCCTAATATTTCACTCAGTAAATGTAGTTGTTACTATGAATCAAAAGTGTTTCATAAGCATCCCACAATAATGCAGAAAACCTGAATATCACACAAACATCTTCCAAGACCTTCGCCAGGCAATAATCCTCATCCAGCGATTCTGAACAGAACAGTAGAGTTGCACAAAGTCTACTAAAAAACTCTGCATACTACTTGATACCATCTCTTGATGCAGGAGCCCTGACCCTGTAAAATCAAGGATTCCAGCCAACACTCCCATACCCTGTCCTCTATCTCTTAAAAAGTGAATTAACATAAAAGAAGAGAGAAACATCATCAAAACTACATGATTCAGATGTTGTTCACAGTGATACTTACCAGAAGCTCCTTGTACTTTGGCCTTTTTGACTCATCCTTTGTAAGGCTTAAAAAAAAAGATTAGAAAATATTAAAATTGTGTCAAAGCAGCATGTAATCAGTGACCTTTCATAAAACTCTTAGCGCATTACACCCTTCCTAATGATTGTTTTTTGAATAATTATGCAAGCAGATCATATATTATAACTTCATTAACCACTGAGTGCAGTTCTTGATATTGGCCATTAGGTGGCAAGAAAATGCACAGAATACAGACCTCCCATTCAACTGTAACATTTAGCAGGAATAATTCTCAATGGTCCAACACTTACCACAAGTTAACAAAATTGATGAACTTGGGGGAAAATTGCCTCTCCTCTGAGTTACTGAGCTGTGGTGGGTCTCCTTTCACTACCTGCGTCAACTGATCAAATACACTGTTCCATTTAGGGTATGGGAATCGTCCAGTTGCAAGCTCATACTGTACAGACAAAAATAATGAAAATTAAAAAAACGAATATCTGGAATTTTACTAGATTCCAGTCTTCATGGTATTGTGATCTTTATATATATAGTTAGAGAACAAAAAAACTAACCAATGTGATTCCCAAGCTCCACACATCTGATCGGACATCGTAGCCTTGCCTGGAAGCACTTGGGTCTATTCTTTCTGGCTGTAAAGCAAAAATACAATTGAGATGAACAGATAAAACATTCTGTATTCTATGACAAATATTTCGGGGTATTAGATCTGTTACATTTGTTTTAAATGTAACCTGGAACTACATACAAAGGAAAACTGAAATGAGAATAAGTAAGCCTGTTTGCTCAGTTAGCAATTCATTTATGATAATTCACCCATTTCTACCAAATTACTACTCTATTTGATTACCACTTTATTTTCCATAAAAACCAATAACTATTCTGCATTTTGTGCACAAGTTGATAGAATTCCATGCTTTATGGCAATATACAAATGCAAAGTGTTTTCATCACCCCAAGAGTATAGGCTGAAACAATTTTGGATGTTGCAAGTATTTGACGAGTTTGAAATCACTCAGTTATTAATTCTGAAAAAAAGACAGTTTGAAAGCTCTGGTGACCATTTTGATTGACAAAGCAACAATTATATTTCTTGTGTCAATTAGTACATTGGCTAATACCAAATCAATGTTGATCAGTTAAACAGTGTAGCTATATGTAGTCTGCAAGTTCAGAAGGCTTACACAGGAACAACATTTCCTAAAACTGTAACTGCAGTCCCTACAGGGTGATTTCTATTAAGTTTAGAATTAATTGGAAAAACAGTTTTTGAACAGTAGCTGTTTGAACGTCCCTACATAATTTCAGCCCTTTTGATGTTATTAGGCAGAAACATTATTTTTCATTATTCCTATTCTTCTAGGGATGGTGCTTGTTAAATTTGAAGTGTATACCAATGTTGAACAGACAGTATTAATTTCAAGAACAAAATGGTAGTCCGATGGCTATCTTGACTTACACAAGAACTGCGTTTTGCCAAATGTTTAGTTGCTAGTCTAAACTTGACTTACACAAGAACTGCGTTTTGCCAAATGTTTAGTTGCTAGTCACCGGAATGGGCAGTTTAGATATGTATCAAGTTTCGAGATTTCGACAAGAAGATGATGATCTATTGAGAGTTTAATAAGTTGCAGCAACGTCTGAGGCAAAAATCTGTTAGAGGCTTAGTGAACAACATTTACCATGTTTTGCCTGTCTGTGCCAGTTTACCTGAAATGTAACTGATCGGCCTCACTTCTATTTGAAGAAGCCAAATCAACCATTCTTTACAAAATTAAACACTACATTAAACAGGTACTTGCCAAAAAACAAACAGTCCATTTCTTAATGACTATATGTAAATAAAATAATGAAATAGCATACAGTACATGGGATAGATCAGTATGAAAAGGAAGCCATTACCAAATACTTTCATAATCCTACTAACTAAACACAGCATATTCAGTGTCAAATAACAGTGAGGCAATTGATCAAAATATTTCTCTGCAGTCCTTCATGACAATTCATTTAACCTTAAATGGCAAAACAATTATTTTTTTTTGCCATTTAAATGCTACTAAAAAGTAGCATTTTTCTTAAAAGACTGAATTTGTTTTCAAATTTTGTACACAAGTTGCCTAAAAAGCATACAGCAATTAAATACTCAAATTTTTATCTTAAAATTAAATTACCTTCAAAGTGCATCACAAGTATTGCAAAATGAGATCTAGGAATGCAGGTATCTGAAACAACTAACTGAGACCATATTAATCCCAAAGAAATGGCGGTAGTGTAGATGACCTCTAATGAAAGGTCTGATGACTATGAAGACAGTGAAACTGTCGAGTAATTTATTGAAAACACTGTCAAATTGCCTAATGTATATTACTTTGCAACTGCCCCAGACAAAGTTTTGTCAAACCCATTATTTTTAATTTCACAAATTTAATGTTTTCACTGAATAATCAAGTAGATTATTTTTTTTCAATGTCTGATTAGATTTGACAAGACTAAGAGACTAAGAACTTCCACTGCTGATTGCACCATTACACATTTCAATGGCATTGTGAAAAGAAATTTAAATTATGTTAGCAGTTTTAGGTCAGTATTTTTGTAACCTATTGCATTTTAACTTCAGTTTGAAAGGAATCAGAGCTCTTATGTCTGCAAAGCATCTTAAGATCATGATAAACTGTCTTCTCAATAATGTCCAAAAACTATACTGGAATTTAGATGAGCTGTATTACAGGGTCATGACTTAATCACATAATAAACCAATTGATCCTTTCTAAAGATTCAGAATTTTTAGAAAGCATCAGATATTTTGGATTTATAAAAATATCAGCAGCCTTGGAAGCAAAGGGAAAATCCAGACTAATTTCATCTCACAGTCCTTCCACAATATGATCTCATGTGCTGGATGACCTCCAAAAAAAGCCACAAATATTTGAGGACTGATATTTTCCAAGCAGGATCTCACTTGAACAGAATCTGCAAGTGTAGGAATTAAGAACTTTTAAGAATTACATTAGCTCATCTGATATCACATTTACAAACCACTTGTAAAGTATCATATTATATGAATTAAAATTTCATATATACCTTGTACAGAACAGTGTTAACTGATGAAAGAAAATCAAAACATTTCCCTTCATTGCTTACAGTGAAACATCAATTGAAAAAGGTCAATTGAAGAAGGTCCTGCATATTTAAATGTTCAACTTTGTTGGAGTAATACATATGTATCAAAACACATACACACAAATGAGAATCACAAGGATTCTGATAGTGTGGCCTTGTGTATCATTAGGTGCTTAATTCACATGTGCGAACGCAACACTTATTTTATGTCAGAAGGTTGGTGATGTTATACATAAAAACAGACAAGACCACTATAGCCACCTTTGGCGCCAAAGACCATTATTTCAATATGCACTACAATTGAATACTGTGAAACATGCTAAAAGGCAAGAAAATAAGCTCTGAGTTAACTGCATTCAATTATAAATGAGAGATTCATCTACAGAATTTATCATGTGTACAATAAAAATATTCTGATTAAATGAATATTTCACATATCGTTTACTAAAGAAGAAATCAACAGCAGGCATCAACCAACTCAGGCTGAGGAAATACATAGTTCTACATTAAACAGTATTACCATAGAAGGGACAAGTGTCAAATGTACAAGAAGCACTGAAGATAAAACTCGAGGGCCTGATGATATCCAACCAACTGGTGAATTGCAAAATTGAAAAATGTAGCACCCATCCATACAAATCGCGACTAACCTGAACCAATTCATTTTAGACTAATATATCCTTCATCTATTACCTGTAAAAGTATGGAAATGGTAACTGTGACATGTCCAGAGGATCATTTTAGATGGAAATTGGTTATCAGGGGATAATCACTGTAGATCTAAAAACAGTAGGCCTAACATGTAAGGGCTATTTGAACAAGCACCATCAATAAGATTTTTTAAATTATATTCAGATTGTCAGAAAATTCTTCAGAAAAAGACTACTTCTCAAATGACACACAGAAGACATTCAAAACAATGCATGTTTGGAGTGAGAACCAGTTAATGGATAGATAAGGAGCTAAATGTTCACATTTGATACTCCACTAATTATACTACTAAGGTCTGTATTAAGACCACTACTATTAATAATTTATATCAATTATGAGGTTTAGAGATGTTTGCAGATGATCCCAGAAAATCTGTCAGATTACTTTTAGATGTAGACAAGTGTTACATGCAGGTAGCACAAACGTCAAAAAAAATAAAACGCTATTCCTAACAAAACCACATCTGAAAATTAATGTTTGTGTGTGTATAACAATGGTGTATATGTTGTTACATTATTTCCTAGACAATCTATGGAAAAAAATAAAAGGCAAATAACATTAGGCACAGAATTTAAAGCAAGTTATCTTATAATTGTAAAAGGCACCTTTATAATAATAATAATAATTGCTTACACTTATATAGCGCTTTTCTGGACACTCCACTCAAAGCGCTTTACAGGTAATGGGGACTCCCCTCCACCACCACCAGTGTGCAGCATCCACCTGGATGATGCGACAGCAGCCACAGTGCGCCAGAACGCTCACCACACATCAGCTATCAGTGGGGAGGAGAGCAGAGTAATGAAACCAATTCATAGATAGGGATTATTAGGAGACCATGATTGGTAAGGGCCAATGGGAAATTTGGCCAGGACGCCGGGGTTACACCCCTACTCTTTTTGAGAAACGCCCTGGGATTTTTAATGATCACAGAGAGTCAGGACCTCGGTTTTAAGTCTCATCCGAAGGACGGCGCCTGTTTACAGTATAGTGTCCCCGTCACTATACTGGGGCATTAGGACCCACATGGACTGCAGGGTGAGCGCACCCTGCTGGCCACACTAACACCTCTTCCAGCACCAACCTTAGTTTTTCCCAGGAGGTCTCCCATCCAGGTACCGACTTTATAAGTCCTTGTTTACAATTAAGAAGTGCAACTCCAGTCAACACATAAAAATACTGGAGCTCCGGAACGAGGATCACACGGTGGCGCAGTGGTTGGTATCGCTGGCTCGCAGCACTAAGGACCTGGGGTTAATTCTTGGGTTGTTATTGTGTGGAGTGTGTTTTCTCCCTAAGATATACTGGTAGGTTAATTGGCTTGTGGGAAAATTGACCCTCATGTGAGTGTGAGTGTGTCTGGGTAATGTGCCCTAATTCAGAGTGTATACCATCTTGTGCCTTTAACTTGCCAATATAGGCACTAGCACCCCCCAGGACCCTGTATTGGATAATGGACTGATGGACACTATGGAATAAGTCCAGGAAAGAGCAACATGATACAGGGGCAAAATGAAATCTCCTATACCGACAGGCTAATAGAACTGAATCTCTTTTAGGTTGGAACTGAAGACTAAGAGTGAAACAGAATATTTGAATATTCACAATTCTAAAGACATCTACTCAATGGACTTGTTCAGAATCAGCAGTGAAACATACTGAGCCCTGCCATACATGGAAAGAAGTGTTCTGAGTACATAAGAGATGTTTTCATACAAAGGGTTGAGGTAGGCTGAAATAAACTAGTTATTTTGTTGAAAACAGTATATTGACTTCTTTCAAGAAATGGTTGGATTAATGATCTACTAGTAACCAAACAAAATAGACCAAACATTAGTTTGTAACTCTTCTTATATTGTTAAAAATATCTGATTTAGAAGAAATCTTGAAGAATGGACAAAAACTCAAATTTAAATGATAATAACAACGATAATTCTAAGAAATGTTCTTTTATGTAGCACCTTTAAAAAAGTAGATTATCAAACCACTTTAATGTGCATCTTAGCAAGTGTACATCTGGGTTAAGACCTGCTTCATGGGTTAAAAAACACACACATTTAGTCCTGTCTTCTGATATAATTAAACAGCTGTAGCTGTAAAATGTGGCAGGGCTTTGGTTTACAAATGTTACATCACCAGCGTAAAGAATAATTCATGAAATACCTAAGCGCTGAGCAAAATCTACTGAATCAAAGGGATGCCAATGATGTCATCCAAATACTCCAGTGATGCAGGCTGAGAAACTACCTCCTCTCACTCATTCATGAGCTGAAATTAGGCAATGATGTCATTCTCAGTGTGGGACCTCTGGCAGCTAATCTTAGAGCATTACATCAGCCTGAACAGACCCACGCTCAAAGAGTTACACTCCAATCTTAGGTCATGTCTGAACAAACTAAATCTATAGCCCTGTTTGGATCCCACAGGCTAAGTTTCAACTGCCTTCTCTGTGACACTGCAAGTCTGACAGTATTAAATCCATCATAGGTTAGCTGCAGCAGCACAGGACTAGCTAAGGCTTTCTTCCTTCACACAGACTAAATAAACCTACATTTTTTATTTGAAGCATGACACACAAATTGAACGTCTTTCTACTTGTTTCTGAAATATTTTACTTTGAAAATTAGGAGGTTAAAGGTATGTAATTTTCAGTACAGCAGATTAACACGACATAAATTCTGAGATATGTGTATACAACATTACTCTGCAACTACTAGAGTAAGTCATATTATATGGCTTTCAGAATTTTAAAAGTAATTGCCATATTCGTCCTATGCCCTTCACACATAAACAGGTTTAAACACAGTAATTGTTATTTAAAATGAATTTCAGTTACCGAATGTCTGCTCACACTCACAGGATTGGCATTTCAGAAAGGCTCCTTATCTCACAAAGAACAGGTACTCTACAGGTAATGATTAACAAATGCTCTCTCAAAATATTCAAAAATAATGCTTAGTTCAAAAATAATCATTGTGTAAACTTTAAGATAATTAGGTCAGTCTGCAAAGGTATGGTCAGTTAATCTCATTTACAGATTAATTTAGAAAAAATATAACAAAATTACAAACAAATCAAGAGTGATAAAACAATAAGAATGCAATGAAAACAAATTTCCTTTTTAAGAAAAATGTCACTTTAAAATAGACATTAAAATTAAATCTAAGTGGCAAAACCAGCCCAATTTTATTTTTTGTACTTAGAACAGTAGCCAAGTGCTAGACAAGACTGCTATTTTCACATTAGAAATGGGAAGCTAGAGACAAACTGATGTGGTTCACATTCCTCTGTTATGAGCTCACTGCTCTGGGAACAACCAAACTACTTCATTCTGAAAGACGTATGAATGAGTCTGAGTTACAAGAGCTGGAGAAGCCCTGCATTGTCAAGAGTACTACCAAACTTAGCATGGAAAGAGAGGGGACTCCAGACAAGAGTCAACAAGCCTGGAAAAAAATACTATCCCAGTGACTAAGCTCTGAGGTAAAACAACTGCTTGACAAGCAGTTTAGAGGTCTGTAAGGCCATGAACAAATTAAATTTTTTGTACACATTACAGATCGGAATTCTTACAAGTATCTAAATACAGCAATACAGTAAAAATACACCAAGATTTTAAAACGTCTTATTTTAATTTGCGAAATTATATGGATTTTCGTATGGTGTTTAGTAGAGAATGAAAAATATGAATTCGGAAACATTCTAGTCCACCATAAAATCCAAGAATCCAGGCCAGGCTTGTTGCAATTAAAAAAAACAATACAGAATACAACAGGAGGGTACCCTGAGGCAATGATACCGCATGTCAAAAACCCAGCAAGAAAGCATGCTTTCTTGCAAAAACCCAGCAAGAAAGCATGCTTTCTTGCAAAAACCCAGCAAGAAAGCATGCTTTCTTGCAAAAACCCAGCAAGAAAGCATGCATGAACAACAGCATAACAGAAAGGAAAAGACACTCTCTTTCAGCAGCATGGAAAACTAGTGGGATGAACAAACCAGGCTGCTGATGAGAGGAATAACCTGGTGTCAGTTAAAGCAGGACCCAGAGTCTTTGTAAATGCTGAACACAAAATTGATTATGATCAACCAACTGAGCATACACCCGACATATTATTCTTATCACAAAGTAGAAAGAGTTCAATATTCAAGAGGATATTCAACCCCCTTTGTAGCTAGAACATTTGAAGGCATATCCAGAATAATGTGCAGTCTGTGCACCATAAACCGTGGAGCAGAGCAGCTTTACGGTCAGCAAGGTTGTCTGATCTCAGTCACCCTACATTTGTCCGGGCTGCTCTTGGATAATTTTTTAAAGATATGTACATAAAAAATCACAGTTGGTAAGATATCCAATAGAAGACTGGGGAAGAACCCTGTAAGACTATATACATTCCTTGACAGAGAATATTTTCAGGGTGGTGAAGAAAATGGTATTGATACTACCAATATTGATACCATACATTTAATTGAATTAAGTAGTGTGTTATTATCTGTAGTGAGTGGTGCATTGGAGGGGCAGAGGTCACGTTCCTTTAGCTTTTTTGTGTTAACCTTTGGAATGAGCTGTCCTATCCAAAAAAGAAAATCTGCTTTGTTGGCACTCTGGCATCTTGGATTTCTGCCATGTCCAAATTAAAATATTTGAAAAGGGTTTACTTTCTGTCACTGAAGGTGACCCCTTAATTTTTAAACAGTTGATAAAAACTACACCAAAGACTTTTACACAATCACATTTTTCTAGACAGTTTTAACTGGGCAAAAATGTAGTGCTGTCTTGCAGACCAGTTTGCAATGCCTTTTAAAAAGTCATCAGTAAGTTGCCAGTTGTAATACACAGAAATCATAAGACTCTGTAATGGATACTGAGATGTGCAACAGAAGACTTTCCAATCACATGTTTTATCCAATTCAAAATTAGTACACAGACTCTCCTTTCCCCACTGTGGCCTTACCGCCATGTAAGGTCTACACCCTGCATCTCTAGTTTTGGCAATGGAGTCCACAAGCTGGCCGCTAATGCCAAAATCACAGAGCTTAATGTTGCCATTTCTGTCCAGGAGAATATTGGAAGGCTTAATGTCTGAAACAACAAAACATAAAATGGTTTAATTAAAATTATTGACTGAACCACATAAATGTTCATGTTCATAACAAAACTGAGCCTTAGTGTTAGTGCAGACAAATTTGAACTTCCGTTTCAACCTATACATTTCTTCAATTTTTAACAAATTTTTCAATAAAGGTTTAAATAATTTTAAAGAATTCATGCCTAAGGGTGCAAAACAATTCGCAGCATGGATTAGAAATAAGAACATATTTACTATAGTAAATAAATAGGCTATAGTATAAAAACATTTTCATAATATATTCAAGATTTCTAGTAATAGCTTTCTTAAAAGTACTGAAAGACTTTCATTATTTACAAACCTTTATGAAAGAAACTTACCTCTGTGAATTATTTTCAAGTTTTCCTTTAAGTGGTTAAGTGCTTTCACAGTCTAAAAAAATAATATACATTGGTCAAGAGCAAAATAGGTCTAGAACTGGCAAGTTATCAAGAAATAAGATTTAGTGAATCTTTATATTACAGGAAATGACCCACAAGAACTGACAGTACAGAGGGATAGTATTTATTAACTTACAGCTAATGTTATTTTGCCTAAAATTTCCTCTGGAATCACATCATCTAAAACAGAATACACATATTTGTAGAATTTGTCGAACGAGGTAGACATGAGTTCCATGCAGATCCAACAGTCACCCTAAAAGAAAAAATGCAGAACATAGAACATTACCACCATAGTAAACTATTTTAATCATCATGCAGAAATAAGACAAGCTACGAAAAAAATTCCTACAAATCTTATGGCCACCTTACAAAAACGACTGCACAATCCTGAATTTTAGTACCAAGGGATTTTTAAGTGACCTAACTTATTGTGTGTTCTGTTTATCTCATCAAGTAACCTCAAGGCATTTTTGTTATTAATACTTTCCAACAATCAAGTTTTCAGAAATTTCTCCATTCCGTTGACCATATGTTAAACACATATGGTTTAACAGTCACGGTTAAACTAAAAACCAGTGGAATAAAGGGTCAAGTGCAATATTCTACGCTTTTACCTCAATAAAATAGACACAAGGTTCTATGGTAAACAATATTATAGGGCTAAATCTAAAAGAAACTTTTAATAACTGTCAGTTTATTATACAAGTACATTTTAAGTTACCTCTTTAATGATTTCATACACAAGACAGGAGCCTCACCTCTCTGAAAAGAGCTCCATAAAATTGAACAATATATGGACAATCACTACTCCTCATTACTACATCCAAGTCCATTAGCAGCTGCTTCTGTTCCTTTTCATCTACAGTCGATCGAATCCTCTGTAATAGCAACAAAAAATGAACTGTAAATCCCCGTGGAATACCATGTAAAAAAAAAACCCATTTTATCAGCATCATCTTCTTTTTCATTGAGGCAAAGAGCAGATATGGACTGCATCGTCTGTTACAGTACCTAAAAAGCTTTTAAACAGAATATATACACATTTTAGTTTTTTTCAACATTTTCAAGGATTTGTGACACATAATTCTACTTTCTTCAAAGATGTGTTATGGTCATTAATTTTCCCATTGGTTTCAAATCCTTAATTGTTGTGCTGTGTGCACATCCAAGTATTAAAATAGCATTTAACAATCTAAACAAAACATACATGACAGTAAAACATGCATTTATGTGAAAGCAAACATGGTGTAGCATGACAAAACTCAAAACTCTGTAGCAGTGGCATGGAAAATGATCACATTTAATGAGGTATTTTTATATTGTCACAGTTATAGGTGACTATAGCTACAGTGACTCCAAAAATCTAGATAAAATGTGTAACACCTGGCAGTGTAAACATTTCCAACTTCAAAGCTAGAAGGAGAATCTAATGGTGAGATATAGGGGCTCCAGATTCAGTGATCAAAGCAATCAAAGTTTTCCTTTGTTTACCTTAAATCAGTTCTGGGTAAATGATTAAGTATAAGAAGATGAAGGACAAGGTAGGGGGGGGAAGGATAGGAGATACAAGGGAGATGAAAGTTCCTTGTTCCAGATTACCCAGGATGATCTGATTGAAGCTAAGTATTTTAACCTTCTTATTATATTGCTTGCTATTCTGTGTTTTAGGGAACTCTGGTTTCCTTTTTGAAAAATCTCAGTTAAAAACAGACTCTCCTGGTTAGCGAGTGCATTTTAGAAAAGAGAGGTTCCCATTCACTTGGTGGCATTCGGGGAGATGGATTTAACCACAGGTTGTATTCTACTTAGTTTAGAAGTCAGCTTTATCCTATTTTGGACAAGCATTATTGAGGAGCTGAATACCTGGTAATGTTCTAGGGTTTTATGGCTGGTTAGGATGTCAAATGTAAATTTGAACAAAGTGTATATGTTCACGCCGTGTGTAGTTTAGTGCGCGTCACTGCCATTTTTATTAAATACTTGCTTAACCAAGAGTTATTCAATTATTACTCTTTTCACCAAAACTGTGCCCCAGAACAAAGAATTCACGTGCCTCTGTACCAACCTTGCGGATATAATCTTGGTAAACACTTCACAAGTTAGGGGTTACAATCATTTATTTTACTTACTGATTTATCTGCTCGGTCAGTTCCCAATTTTCTCCTTTTTCATAACACCACATTTCTAATACTATTTTATGTATAAAATAAATCATTGAAATTTTGCAAATAAAGTTAATAGAGAAGTAAATATTAGTGAGTGTTAAAGGATGTTATGAATTGGGGTTAACTTATTGCTATATTAATTTAAGTAGTTTAATCAATGAACAGCATTTCTACTGCTTTAGTAGCTTGTTAGATCTTTCTTTTAAGCTCCAGTAAAATAAATGTGCATTTTCATTCTGGGAAGTTATGTAATTGTCACAAAAGCAATTGCACCAAAGTGTCAAAACTCCTAACTTAGGCAACTCTTTAGTATCTATCCTTTTTTATCAACAATACAGAAACTCCAGTCTCCTTCTAACTGTGTATGTATACTGAGAGTCATTAAAAATACAACAAATGCTACTTGTTGCATTTTTAATGTCTTTCACCAGAGAACAAGACATATAAATATATAAAGAGAGAGATGTCTGAAATGGACTTGAACACAAAGATTAAACTATGTGTCATTCTTTACATCAGCCTTAATCATTAGCATGTGTTTTTAAACTGCTTAATAATAAGTTTATTTTAACAACCAACAAAAGCAAACAGCCAGAATAAAAGTTCTAATGATTACATTTTCTTAAAACATTTCCTAAACTACATCATGTTAAACACAGCACTCCTTAGAAACAATTGAAATCCAAAAGTTTGCATTGAATATCCTCTTTCAATCAGTGGGGAAAAAAGGTTGAGTCTGAGATAATAAGATGGAATGATTACTTTAACTGCCATTATCTGTCCACTTGGTTTGTGCACCATTTTGTTGACAGACCCATAGGCTCCCCGTCCGATTTCTCCCAGATCCTTCAGGTCTTCTGCGGTGAAATCCCAGTGCTGCTCAGGAGAGATCTTCAGTTTTCCTGAAGATTCAATACTGTGTGTTCGCAGCCTCTCTCTGGATAAAAAAAGAGATATGAAAACAATTCTTCAAAAGACAAGGTAAATATCTGTTTGGTATCTGCAAGGTCTTTTAAGTCATTAAAGTCCAATAACCACACAATTGGACAAAGCCAAAATGAACCCTGACATTATACACATTAAATGGAAGCTTTTGTGATCGTGCCGATTCTCTCTTGCACTGGCAGAAACCAACATCCTTTTTCTCAAGCAGCACACTTTTGGTCATAAGAAAAAAGTGGCATTTATAAAGAAAGGAGTTCAATTATTGCTTAGACTTCATCAGCATATGTATTCACATAAAACCCTCTTTGTCATTGAAATGTGTGTCCCACTTTCTTTTTTAAATCTTTCATCATCAAAGAAAATGAGAAGTACTGCAACAGAATGGCTCACTTTCCACAAAGGAAACACACAGAAGCTAAACTGCGTATAATTCTATATAATTCTTTGTTTTTGTGCCAACATGAGGCAATGCCACTGTATTAAAATATGTAGTTATTCTGTTTTTGATGCCACAGGTTAGTTGGCAGTAGTTTGTGTTTGTAGAATTCAGTAAATTGTCGCTAATTGCTTTGCCTAAGGGCTAATGTATTAACAGCAGAATAACAAAACCACTCATTCTAACAAAGCACTATATTAACATGTACAGTACAGCACAATTCCACATCATGGTAGTTTTAACTTATGTGTGTTCAAAAAAAGAAAGGAGCTATACAGCAAATTCCATTACAACAGAAGATATAAGTGCATGCACAGTACTTGAATTGTGGGCTCCTGAACAAATAATGGTAAATGCTTATATGTGTGTTCTAGCAGTATGTACACTTTTGGAACAGTTTATAAACAGCAGGGCTCTATAATGCAAAGGAACAAGTAATAGGTTTATTCCATGCTGAAAAAAAGAAGAAAGAGAACACAACGTTTCGGCCGTGGAGCCTTCTTCAGGGCTCTATAATACTACACATTGAAAGCAGTATCCATACGGTATTCTATCCATTCCATTTAGAAGAACTGCCTTTTTCAAAACATGCCATCTCTCTCATAATGGACTTTTTGCTCTTTATTCTATGCTCTTATTGTATACTTTAATCTGTCAGCTAATGAAAAAGCAGGGGTCTGAAACTAGTCCTGAAGTTAGCCCAGCAGGTTTTATAAGTAGTCTTTGGTCAAATGGTCAGTAATAAGAAATCTGGAAAGCAGATTAAGTCATTCTAATTAAGCAACTGATTGATCCAATGAAGTCACTTATATCTCTGTTTCAACTGGTTAAATAAAAACCAGAGTACACCATGGATCGCTAGGACCATGGTTGCGGACTCCTGGATTCAATTGTTAGTTAACACTAAGTGTTTGCTTGGAACTCAACTGAACTGTGTAGTTTAATTATATAAAGATATTAAGGCTAATACATTTTGATGGCCTATTCAAGCAATGGTACTTTGTTGACTGCACCACAGGATGTGATTGGGTACAAAAGAGCCACAAACAAACATTTCCACGGACAATGACAGCACACACCAGAGGGCGCTACATGAGCTCAAAGTGACCAGTGTGGCTGGTGCTGTTATGTCAAGTTGTATTGCCCCAAAGTGCTTTCTCAAGATTTCTCAATACAGTGATTTGTTTCGGTCCACTAATTCCAAGTGCCTGTTTGAAAAGGGGTTTATTCTGGGGTTTTAATAAATATTGTAAGTGGATCACACTTTGTGGGGAAAAAGCACAATAACAGATGTTTAGTTTGCAAATAAAATGTACACATAGCTGGAAATAAAATGCTTCATGTCCCATTATGTGTTACTCTTTAAAACCATCGGTAAACCTCTACCCAAAAGCCTTATTTAAGATAATTTTACCTTTAGAATGAAAATACATGTAATGTCCCTTTATAGTTTCAGTAAGAAACAGCATCAGCCCATGGAAATTGTTTGTACAGTAGGAAAAGAACAGTACTGGTAGAAACTCTTTTTTTAAAAAGAAAATTATTCTTTGTAACTTGCAAAAATCAAAAATTGAATTGGTATTGAGGCACAGATGATTTTCAACCTCCCAGAAATAATATACCTCACCGCTATAGTAAGTTTCCCTACTGTGAATGTTCTAGAGTAGCTATACCTTTAAAACCTTAAAGAGTAATTCAAGCTTCAGTGACAGAAATGTGTGCATGTTCTAGGGTGACTGATAGTTTACATCAAACTTACATTGCCAAAAAGATAATATAATTTCCCATAAACATAGTCTCCTTTAAAAATCAGCAACTTTATGTAACAAACCCCTTTTGATACCACTTTATGGTAGGCTCCCATGTGAAAGATTTCTAGTACTATAAAGTCCTATGACTCACAGTAGTCATCATTTTGCAAGCTTCCTTTGATATTTAAATTAATGTACACCAAATAAAATCACTTCTGGCTCACTGAATTAGACTAACGAAGATTATTCAATTGATCCTTTTATGCTGCTGCACATTGGATTAAATGATTAAGGAGAAAATTCTTAGGAATTAGATGAATTAATGGATCTCCTCTTTAAACATTTTACATGGTGGCAGGAGTATTTATGAACCATGAAATTGTTTGATTCATTTCTAGAACAAATTAACAAAACACTCATTAGGGTGCCTTAAAATATACTGTAGGTTAAGTCTTAAGCTTAAAACAGAACTCTAAAGCCAAAATACACTGATATAGATTTTGGGAAACAACTGATCTAAAATAAATACAACTTACACATATAAAGGAATGTGTTCTGTACTGCTTCAGAAAGGGAAAGGAACACTTGAAATTCTGTTGGCATCAAAAGTTTGACAACAAAGGTAAGGTTGTTTTGTTTTCTTTCCCCAAAAGCAGTATGTTAAAATTATGAAAGTCATGTCAAATACACCTTTTTTTGTTCCACAACTAAATTTTAGTTTTCTAAAACATCCAACATTTTTTCTGTTCTTATATTACTTCTGCTTTCCTTACAGAGTATGTGAACTGGCCCAGAAGAATCTGTCATTTTGACTGCTGACTTATGTTATGGTTCAACTTGTTTTGCCACATCAGTCAGCTTGCAACATACAAGGGTATTTATGCACAATATTATGCATAATCAATGTATAAAATAAAAGGCAGCAGAGAAAAAAGGTTTAAATGTGTTCTTAATGCATTTTCTCAAATGCTTAAGATAACTATGAACTACACTCAAAAATGACTATTTTACACAAGAATGTATCTAATGACTCTTCAAAAATATCATGAAATTATCAGATTAATGTCTTTGTTTTACAGAGTAATTACGAACAACAAAAAGAGGTGGACTTGGCTTTATGTCTCTGCATATCTCTTTAAAAATTCACTACCACCATTTTAGGAATTACAAAAATCTGCCCTGTATTATAATTCAATCCTCAATCCCATTTGTAAATATAGTGGCTTCAAGGCAATGGCCGTTTTTCTCTAAGATAAACAGTAAGTTATCTGATTGATTTATGTTTTCTCTAGGAATGACTTCTTACCCACTATAATAAATCTGATGGTAGGCTGACTGGGAAGGGGATGTACTAACATAACAGCTGTTAAAATAAATACAGCACCCTTCTCATGTCTTAAAAGTTCATTTATATTGCAGCTACAATTACAAAACTCACAGAGGACCCTGCACTAAATCAGAAACAGAGGTGACATATTAGACGAGTTTCGAAGCAGGCGATTCACTTAATACCTGTTTTTTTTTAATCCATGTGTAGGACGCTGATTAAAGCAAAATCTGCATTTGGCATTATAACAAGATACAAACATTCATTAAAAAAACGTACAAAAATATGCTAGGGCATTTTAGCAAAGTACCGACCTACCATAAATGGCATGCATCTTTGGTAGATTAGAACTTTTCTCATATAAAAAGATAGTTATGCTTTTAAATTATTCATTCCAACCTTACGTATTACGTATTCCAACCTAAAAAGGACAATAAACAGTTTCTTCTTTTGAGTAGCACGCATCACTTGAGAGGCCTGACTAAGTTGCTCTACTTACATATGTGGATTCTGAAAAGGGGCTCCTGCAGTGTTGAGAGTAAATCTTGCAGTTGATTTAATTGGTGGATTGGCAAAATTTAACTTCAGTGCTTTGCGTTTGCCTGAGAAGAGAAACAAATACAAGTTCACAGGGCACATCATGCTTCATTATGAATCTGCCCTTAGCAGACAGGTTTCAACACAAGCAAAAGCACAGTATCAACAGTAGTTAAGGTAGAATACAAATCTAATAGGTGAATAACAAAGAACTTAACATAGCTGATAAGCCTTAAACATTTTGTTAACTACTGATAACATAAAATGAAATGGCTACCACCCCTGACTAACAAAAACGTAGGTTATGTTAAATATGCTCAACTTATTTATCCTTCCAAAAGGAAATAAAACAGTTAAAATGACACCTTGTTTAAATTGCTGATCAGTTTCTTTTTGATCAATTCCATGCAACCTCCAAATCTTGAAATAAAACCTAGCTGTGAAATATTCTACGCATGTTTGAAATTATTGAAGTGAAACTGACCATTCACCAAATAGGAAATGGCTTCTTAACAAAACAAAGCTTTCATTTTAGTCTGATGGGGAACTGCAGGCATAATAAACTATAGTAGTTCAGGTGGGTAGCTGTGTCAACATGCGTAGGCTGCAAAGGAACAAGTAGTAGGTTTATTCCATGTTGAAAAGAGAAGAAAGAAAACACAACGTTTTGGCCGTAACAAGCCGAAACAAGGTGTCCTGAAGAAGGCTCAACGGCCGAAACGTTGTGTTTTCTTTCTTCTCTTTTCAACATGGAATAAACCTACTACTTGTTCCTATAATGAAAACTAAATAAGAAACAAAACAACTACAATAGGATGTACAAGGTACATAGGCTTTGATGAAATAGCACTATTGTCATCAAAATTCAATGCATAACAAAAATATTACAAAATGTTCTTCAAAACACAAAATTATCATCAACCTTCATTATACACATCAGTGCTGCTGTCTAGAGATGCAGTGCAAACAGCAAATTACATCCCTGCATTCTTGACCCTATATTACTTCCTACATTTGCAACCTACCACAAGTACAATCTTAGATGCCAGGCAAGTAATACATCGAGGAATTAAGTCAGTTCTATGTATTTTTTTATAGAAAGGATCACACAGCTAAAGTAAGGTTTATTTTTTATTCATCAACATAAATTACTCCGGGTAGGATTTGATTCATTTACCAGCTAATAAAAGAAAGTAGTATTTACACACACTGCATACAATAAAATGAAACAGTCAAAAAAGTGGTCAGGGATGAAAATGTGACTCTTGTATCAGTGGTCTGAGCCATTTCAGATCTAACAAGTAACTGGATCATGCATGTAAGCAAACACTGGGTGATGGATACTTTATACGTAACTTACAGTATTCTGGTCATTTCTGAACAAAGTTATTTCAATATTGTCTGTCAGGGCTACAGGACCGTGCAGTTTTCATTCCATCTCTTAATTTGTAATTAGTAAAATATAATTAGTTAATGGAATAATTACTTAATTGATCTAATCTCCTAGGCTTAAAGCAGGAAGCAATTATGAAACCTTCTGAGCTATGATCTTTGAGGGCACAGATACAAAAGCTTTGCGAAAACTGTGTACCACGAAGCACTGAAACCTGGTACATATACAAACGGGCAATGGCAATTGGCAATGAGTGCAGTAGATTCCTAGGGTATTAAAAATCTGGTGGAGACTAGTTACGTGAGAGCCATCTGCTATGTACTGTCACTGTATTTGGGAACACAGATCCCATGGTCTCATGTGTATGTGTACCAAATTTCATTTCTCTGTGGCATCAGTTTTCCTGACAGTTGTTAGAGCCCAGCAAACTCCATCGCCATCATATACAGTTTGTATCATTCCGTCATAAAGCACGAGCCCCTGTCATAAAGCACGAGCCCCAGGTTCTTTGGCAAATTAGAAAGGTAGGGGGAAATGTAAAACTGATAGAGGGGTTCATAGAGAAAATGGGACTCTCTTAATTGTAAGACTAATTTTTTTATAGTGTCAACATAGTTGCAGTGAGGATTTTAAAAAATGCAATTCAAAAATAATAAACTGTTGAATTACTAGCTGGTAGTTTTCTCCTAATTCGCTTTTAATCCTTATAATTCAATGAAAATGAAACAAATACTGTATTATCATTCTTTTAACTCTAAATATGAGCACTGGTGAAAATCCATCTTTGAAAATGGCCCGTAGTTCCTTATTGTTTAAAACATCCAAATTATTCGAAAAGTGTTGAATTTATGAAATAGTACAGTCTCCATCAGAGCTCAAAACATGTGAAAATACACTTAGGAATTCAGTTCTCTTCACTGTACGACAACTTAAGACAATAAGAAACAAACAGCATCTGTGCCAATGATTTGTGCCAAGTCATTTCAGGAATGTGAAAAAAATTATAGTTAAGCTGAGTACTGCATTTTCGTTAAAGAACAACAGAATGCTCTGTACTATTTTGGTACGTTCTGCTAATCTTAGTCAACTGTATTCCTCACAAAAGCAGTTTTCAACCACAATTTATCTTTCCAGTATGAATACTGATAACATCCTCACTTTATTCCCCATAAACAGGCTTACCTACAGAATGTTACAGAAAGGTAGTCCTGTCAGTTCACAGACTTCAGACTGTTGGGTATTAACTCATTTTGGCAAAAACTGAAAATGTTTAATGAGAAAATTAAAGAGAAAAAAAATCAAGGTCCTACAAGATTACCATTTGCATTTAAAACATTCAGTGCTTTATGAAAATCCCTTTACCTATAAAGATAATTTGAGTCATAATGCATCAAACAGAAAATAATTAGCTTTAATTAGTTCTAACTCTAGGAGGTCACCATATCTACCTTCAGCTAAACATTCATGGACTTTGCAGAAGGCATTTAAAGCTTTTTAGGTTAGGACCCTTTGCTCACTAGCAGAGGGCTAGTTTCCATTTAACATTTTCAACCCTCTCTACACAACACCTACGCTATTACCAGAAGAGGATTAACACACAGGGAAATCACGTGCCTCTTTAAATTCTGGAAACAACAAAAAAAATAAATTTTACAAATATTGCCTCAACAAAACTAGCATAAAGCCAATAAGGCACAATTACAGTAGTTTTTATTCCTTTTTAGCTCAACATGTTTTCAGGAAAAGTTGCCACTAAATGTGTCTCTAACCCTCACTGGCCTCTGTTTTATTTGGATCTGAAAAAACATTACTATGCATACTCAATCGACACTGAGTGAAATTTAAAAAAAATCCTACCATCATATTGATACATGTTTTCCATGTAATAATACTTCAGATTTAAAATAAAAAAATGACCACATAATACAGTACCTGATTTTTTTAAATTACTTCCTAATTGAACTATAAAAAGGTAATGGTAATAAGTTATGTGAGGTGATTATTTTAAATGTTTAAAATACATGGTTCATTAGAATTTAATCTAAATCTGATGCTATTATTAAGTAATCATTTGAAAAGAAAAACACTATAGCCTTACATGTTTTAACAAATTGTGTTGAAATTATTTATATATTACTTTAACTTAAGGAACATTGCTCAGAATACACTTTTTTGCAATTTGTTAAAACCCAACAGTAACCAGGAAAAACTAATTGTAATACGCTCAATGATACCCCAATCTTAGCATCATTGTGACCTATGTGAAATACAGCTGAATGAATTGTCACAAACCTCATCCTTCTGCAGAAACAAAAAATGTGCAACAACTGGAGGATGACCAGCAATTAACAATGGCAGGCCTGTAGATGACATCTCCAAAAAATAAGCCCTATTGAAAATAGTGCACTCCCCATTTAGAAGTTACAAGAGAACATCCAGATTCCAAAAGACTGTATTAAAACTGTGGTATAATATGACTCTAATTTGAAGGATTCATTTTGTTGTTCTTCCTCCATCAGCTACACTATAAATAGAATTTATAAAGTACTGTAATTTAACTGAAAATCTTACATTAAAGTCTTGAGTGCAAATTCTCTTTGAGCAAAAAACAGAAGAAAAACAAATACATTCTTTAAGACATGAACCAAACATGAGCAGTTTTATTGGTTAGTAAAGTGCAAAAAAATAATTCAGGTAGAGCTTCCATTACAGTATTTTAAATTTTCATTTGGGATCTTGCATCTACAGGAGACAAAACTTTCGTCATTAAAATTTGTTATCGGTTAAAAACATACAAGTATCTTTTGATAATCTCTATAAAATACCTTTCAAAGGAAATGGAAGCTCTGAACCCCACCACTCTGCCTTGGGTTAGTTAGGAACAACAGTGGACAGATTCCCCATACCAGACTGTCAGACGGAAACACAGAAGGGTTGGTACAGTAACATAAAATGCTTTGCTTACTTTGGGGAACTCCAGAGAGGTTTATCTGAAACCCTATGGTGAAAAGAAAACATTTTTTTATTTAATTTTGCTTTTCTTTTCTTGTTTTCCTATTGTCTTAGAAGGTAGAAGGGTTGTTACTGAAAAAGACTTAATAAAATGTCAAGAATCCCTGCAGCATTTATGTCATTTTCATTTTACTGCAGACATTTGCTGTAACATGCTTGCACACAATTTGTGAAATCAGAAATCTTAAACATTTAATGTAGTTCTCCAGAACCAATTGTATATGAACACTACAATACTACTTTTCTGTACATATTTAATCAGTTCATAGGCATTTCCATGACTAAAAGGGTCCATTTTCTGTTGTGGTAGAAAAGCCCTTAAAACATAAGCAGTCGGAACTGACAGTTACACAAATGTGCAACAAAGACATAAAATAAGTTCTACTTATTTTTCCAGTTTCAGTTATTCATACTGAGGGCTATAAATTGAGTTTTAAAGGTTTCTCTTGTTATTAATGCATATACTGTTTTTATAAGACCATTTTCACCAAAAAAAACCTTACAAGAAAGAAACCTGAAGCATCACCATTGCAAAATGTTTAAAGGGTAACTTTGTGAAGGACTTATCAACACAGTACTGTCTATGTATTCCTCCCCTTAGCATCCTAACTAGTAGATGAGGCCAGAAAATGCAGTAAGAGTGGAAAAATAAAATGTTAACAAACAAAGAAGAATGCGGAACACTACTTTCAAAAAAGAAGAAAAAATACTTTAAATTAAAGTAGAGTAAGTAGAGATTAAAAATGTCAAGTCGCCTTCAACAAAAGTATTCAGAAACAACCTAACATAAAGACATACGTAGTGAAAATTTAGTGAGTGCCCTACAATTATAGTTTTTTAGGGAATAAACGGTACAATACCCCAAATTCCATTTCACATTTTATTCCATGTGGGAAAACAGGCTTTTCCTACTGAACTAGTTTCACCTGAATCCAATACACATCGCACTAAACATTTTAATACAATGCTAAAAATTGACAGACTGGAAGAAAATAAAAATGTTTGTAGACAAAGAGTTTTACAAAATGGGCATACAGTAAATTATGGTTTAATAAGTTTACTGAACTTTCCCCACTTTGAATAAAAACACTGTGCTCCTTTATCATAAGTATACTATGACTTCAAAAGGGTATATGAACACTGTAGGAAACTGGAACATGTGAAGTTTAGAAGCCACAAATTTCTAAAGGCATTCAAATTCTATGCATGCTTGCACATTTTAAGACATTTAATCACATATTTACAAAATGCAAATAATTTTAAAACTCTGAAGCATCTAAATGCAGCACTTTACTCATCGTATTGAACTGAATGAACTCAGAAGCTTTCATTTTGATTTAGTATTCCTAAAATATCTGTGGCATTTTCAAAAGCAGCACTTATTTAAGTGCAATGTTTGCCATTACAGTACCTGCGGTTTTTCTGTTTTTCCAGAGAGAAATCTCGTTAAGGCCACACCGCAACCATATCCCCAGCATATTAATGCAATGTGCTTTTTTCAACCTTTGTTATTTTAAAAGTTCAAAAGCTTGTGGTTGTGTGTTGCGTCCGTGACGAGAAGCATTTACCACAAAGACAAAGGTAACTTTCTCTGCAAGCAGTACTAGCCGCTGTTGTCTTATTTTTTATTTCAAAATCTTGTTTAGGTTTTAAATCTAAAAAATGCATTGCGTTAGCAGTAAAACCTGTTAAGACAACAGTGATTTTTCAAGGATTCAAAGTAAAGAAACAATTGGTTACTAATTTCAAAGTAAACCAATGAGCTGTTTTTAACCACATGATCGCCTATGAGAAAATAGACAACCTCTAAAGTACGCCTCTAAAGTCACATCAAGTGGATGTTCTAAGGATGTGCTGAGTCTAGTAACCACAGTACAATTCACCCTTCCAAAAATCGTTACTTGTAATTCACATCTTAAATCAAACAATGACATTTTTATTAAATCAACACAGCCTGTGTTTGTGCATGTATTTCACTATAGCAGGAAACAATATTAGATTATCAACAAACATATGATCGCTTTTTAAATAACTATGTGTCCAATATGATATTGATGTAAAATGTTGCCTCTTTTTTTGCTATGTAAAATACATAAGTTTATAACAGATGTCAAAAAAAGGTTAATATATTCATTGACTTGGTTATAAACACCAGTCATATTCCGTTCCGCTGGGTTAAAATCACTAAGAGAACAAAACACTCACATTGGATATGGGGGAAAAAAACCTGTATACCTGTGGTATGGGTCTTATTTTACACATGCTCTGTGCTTTATTCCGAATGTAATTTTCCACAGAATTAAAATGTCAGCACGTTTAAAAAATCCAGGTCTTAAAAAGTCACAGCACATTTTTTTCATAAAAAATCAGAGAAAAGTACTAGAACAGACATTTTCAGTTAATCTTGGGGAAAAAAGGGAGTTAACTTTACCATTCATATAACACGCTTCATAGACAAATTTTGCTACTAGAAATGAATAGCTGAAAACAAGCAAGCAGTATTTAAATATATTAAAAGTATAAAAAATGTACCTTTCCACTTCAGAAATCTTGGCTTAACCTGCCTTTTGTCAACAAACTAAGACATTAATATTCAAGAAAAAGGCCCAGTTAAATGCAGTAGCCTGGAATTTGAATCTGTTGAGTGTCACAGACACCCAAGGCTAGCATAAGGAAAGGGACCTCTGACCCTTTCACAGAACTGTACACATACCAGTACAGTACAAGTTTCACCAAAGTACATGGCATGTATGGGTTCACAGGTTAAAAGCCTTACACTTCCAAAGACATCCAACAACATGACAGACGCACACTGTAGCCTTTTTAAAATGTCTCAGGGCATGTTACCATTATACAGGCTACAGAATTACCAGACATCAAAACTCTTCATAGAAAAAATAATAGTATGTGACAAATCACACTGACAGCTGTAAAAAAGGAATGTGTAATGTCCATTTCAGGAACTTAGCAGACATATTTTGCAATACATTTGTGTAAATTTATTCTTAATTAAGCATTAGATGTTTTATGAAGCACATTTTAACAAAGATCATGCAATATGTAAAACTGCACAGCCATGTGCTTTTCACAAACTTTAACATATAAATGTGATGAACCATGCAGACTAGAAAACAAGACACCACTGTATGTACAAATATTAAAATACTGCATTTACAATGAAAACGTGATCAAGAATACAGTGAGATATCTGAACTGTGATCCTTCAATAACTCAATACCAAGAAAAATGTATATGCTTGTATATGCAAATAACCTAAATGCAAAATACCCTACCTTTGTGCAAAAAAAAAACCTTACATTAAATTTCATAACTTAAATTTCACAATCCTTCTAAATATCCAGCACAGCATCAATCATAAACATGGAATGTTTCAAGGCTATTTGAGATTGCTTGGTCTTCCCATAACATTTAATAATTTTTTGCACGTATCTTTATATTTATAAGAAAAGACCCATTTATTTACTTTCTGGATCATATGTGGCAGTCATTATTCATCAGTAGTCCCATTACACAGCAGATCAAGTAGAGAAATAAGCTGATGCACAAGCAGAATGAAGATGGAACTTTAAACAGAGCAAATTGTTTAAAATCTACTCCAGATTTACACAGGATACCAAGTTAACATTGAAAGAACTATGGGATCTTTAATGACCAAGTAGTAAGAGCCTCAGCTTTGCTTAGTATACAGTATGTGAGAATTCAAATATCCACGTGGGGTAACTTCTTTAATACTTCTTTTACTTCCGTATATAATTGTCTCACTGGGTTTCCCTGGGATGATGGAAAAAACAAGATTATTGAATTAGATTAATTGGTATTTGTTCAACCAAATCACTTCTCTGAACCTCACAACAGCCATTGGGCAGCTGAAAATGTGCACAACTTTCTCTGAAACCTGCACTGTCGAAGTAGAGACTATTCCTCCCATTGTGAACCCCAAAAGATGTGCAAGAGCTTCACTGACAAAACAGAAGCTTAAAGACGTTTGGCATGCCACTGGGGTTGGTGTTGCACTGGACAATCTGGATATGTTACACACAACTGTTTAGGAAGTTCCAGTCACAGTTGGCTAAAGACAAACTACACAACCAGCAGTGTCTGGAGTCTGGACTACAGGACTCAACCAGCACAGAAACAAGGAGCTTGACTACGTGCACAATTTGGAAATCCTACTGTTTGTTTTTTCCTGGTGTAAACAAGAGTTTGCAGGATTTTCAAAATAGTCTTTGCATGTTTTAATACCACACTAAATAATTACCAATTACTAAATAATGACAGTGTTACAGAGATTTTTAATGGTTTTCCATACAGGGAAACACTGTACCCAAAGCATGGACCAGAGGAAAATCTGGGAGCAGAAAATCTTAAAGGAACTGAAAGTTCTTCACAGTGTGCAATGCACTCAAACAGCACGAATACAATGTAGGGAAATGTAAGGACGATATAATTATGAAAAAGAAAGGTGCAGAATTATTTGATAAGATTAAAAAAGAAAATTATTAACTTAAGCATGAAAACAAGCTAATGGAAGCAAGGACATGATTAAGAAGAAAAGTTGCTAGCAAGGGCTCACCATTGTTCAGCATCAAGGTGGGTAGGTTAGGGATGGTGGGAGCAGCAGAAAAGGGGAGAAAGAAAGAAAGTTTTCATCAAAATAATTGTCTTCACAGTTTCTTTTTGATTCATCCATGGTAAGAAAAAAAAACACAGGAATTCAATTTAGATTAACCCGGTGGAAACTGTGTATCATTACTTTGTCTGATCAATCTTCTTGAGAAAACACATACTCAAAATTGACTTCTCTTAAGAATTACCAAAACTATCTTTCTGATCCCCAGCTTAGCAGAAACATTGCCAGTTTTCCAAGGTGGAATGGATAAGGATAACCATGGTGCAGCAAAGATATAATAACAGACAATAAGGCAATAATAATAATAACGTTATGGTTAATTCATTCAGTCTTTT